TACTGAATAATAACAACAATGACAACAACAATGACAATGGTGATGCCTTTTACTGCAGAATTATTCTTCCTCCACCTGTCTTGGCAACTGCTTGCCACAGCACGGGGAGACCTTACGTTGCAGGTGACATGAGATTGCATAGCATCTCTTTTAAAATGGCACTGCTGAATGACAGAAGCTGAGAGGGAGACCAGTTATGTGACCGCCATAATGGAAACCTCCATTAAACCATTATTGGGTGGTTTGGGAAAGGATGTCCTATGTGAGCCTGAGGTAAGACTTCCAGGAGCTTAGGAGCACAGTATCTGTGGCAAATTGTGGTTCTATATGCAGAACAACTATTATTATAAATCAGGGCAGCAACTTGTGGCCTTCTGGATATTTTGGTCCACAACTGCCAGCAGCCCCAGCCAACATAGCTAATGGTCAGCAACACTGGAAGCAGAAACATCTGGACGGCCACAAGTTGCCTGCTATTGTTATGAAAACTGACTAACTGAACTGAAAACTGTATGAAAAATGGACCTGTGAACTTGATATTTATGCCAAAGGTGAACCTCGGTCCCCTTTTTAAGACAAGGGAGAAAGAGTGTAAATTTAATTTAAAGTAATTACAATAGTTAATTCTCTGTAAGTACGCTGTATGTTTGCATTGACAAATTAACTTTGAATATATCCTGGAAATGTCTTTACTGCTCCCTTATTGGAGTCATTCCTTTGATTATAGTGCATAGGCAACATTCTCCTTAGTGTTTGAAGGTTTTCACAGCATTTGGGTTTTTATCCTACCTATTCAATCTTTCCTAATTTATATTGCTGTCACAAATAATGAGGTTTTCATACTTCCCAAGGGCCTTCTTCCAAACAACAAGTGACACTAGCTTCTTCTAGTTTAAGAAGAACATGTTATATAATTCATAGCCATTAACCTAACTATTGGGCTTCTCAGTTATAAAGCATGCCTGACAGCAGTATTCAGATTATAGGAGTGGCGGGGAGAAGAAGTCTGGCTTGCAGAAGCTACAGTTTTTGGTGGCAATGGAGGACATGATTTGACAGATCCTGGGATGAGGCCTCTCTTATCCTTCCCTCCATAATCTAGGAGCTACTTAACAGGAATTATTGTTGGATTCATGCCCTCTTTATTATTGTAAATGGTTGTATGTCTTCAACAAGTGCCCAAACTGAGCATTAAAACAAATCTTCTCTTTAAAATATCTGGCAAATAAAAAGGTTTTCACCTGCCGTCAACAAGAAAACAGGGATGGTGCCAGGATCACCTCCTTGGAGAACATTTTCAAAAGATGGTGCAACTGCAGAAAAGCCCTTCTCCTAGTTCTTACCCCCTTACTTCTTTTGGGGATAGTTCCCTAAGAAGGACCTCTGTGGTGCCCAGGTGGGAACATATGGAGCCAGGTGTTCCTTCAGATAACCTAGCCCCAAACCATTGAGGGCTTAAATGTTAACATCAGCACTTTGAATTGAAGCCAGACTTCAACTGGCAGTCTATGCAGCTGAAAGAGGACTGGTATAATACGACGAATGGAAGAGGGGCTTTTTAGTCAACAGCAAACATCCCCAAATTGAGCATTCAGCTGTCAGGACACAGTCAGAGAGACTGGGGGCATTTGATGCAGTCCAGCAAATGGACAAACTGACTCAGTTCTGGGGGAACTTTTGAAAGAGGCATTCATGTGAATCTTGTGACATGTTCCTAGTTCTGTGAGCTGCACATTAAGAAATGTCTGTTCTGAATCCATTCGATTTTCCAGACCATTTTCAAAGGCAGCCCCACATTGGGTGCATTACAAACCAGAGCTGTCTAGATCACTGTAGCCAGGCTCTGCCTGTCCAGATAGGGCTATAGTTGGTCAATCATCCTAAGCTGAGAAAAGGTGCTGAGAAAAGTTTTGACTGATTGGTTCTGAAAAACCTGTGTGTGAGTATTCCCTTTTTAAATCCCACAGTGCCTTACGGTTTTTAAACAACCAAAATATTCCAGCTTTGGTTGATATGGCAGCTTTGGCCATTCCTGAACAGGCATAGCCTAGCCACCAGGATCCATGCATTAGATCCAAGACTAGACTAATGCAAGGCCTTCATGTGGGGCTGTCCTTGTGCCTGGTTAGGAGGCTGGAGCTAGTGCAGAATGTGGTGGGTAGAATATGCAGTGAAGGTTTGCCTTGTGCACATCTGAGCCTCTGCTGAAAGCTCTGCGCTGCCTGCTTCCATTCCAGACAGTAGGTTGGAAGTGCAAAGCTAATCTTGTAAAGATCTAGTCAGTCACCTCACCAAAGCTCAGGCTGTGAGCCAGTGGCCTTGCCCCCTCCCCCAATCCTCTGCCTACAGATCCAGAACCAGAGCAAATTTGGCAGAGCCAGATTGCCCAAAACGGAATAGGATCATTGCAGGTCTGTGGCTCCATGCTTCACTTGTGGTCAGAAGGGCCATCTAGCCAGAGCATGCTGGCTCCCAAACTTTCTCCAAGATGCCAGTCAACTCAAACTCCCGAGCTTAATGGGTGCCACAAGCTTGGTAACATCGTGAACACTGAGACACTAGAGAGATTTAGAAATCCCAGCATTGTGCTGGAAGTGTGTCTCCAGATCCCATAGGGGAAGGAGATAGTGACACCCACTCTGGTGGCCTCAAGACCTACCACCAATGTTTTAGACATTAACTTTGCAAAACAAAATTACCTAGTCCCTCTGGAGTATTCCTTGGCAGGGATATTCCTCATTGTTTTTCTCAATGACTTACTGATTTACTCTGCAGATCCTAGGCAGCAGAAACAACAGGTGAAGCTGCTGTTACAAATACTACGTGAACACCACCTGTAGGTCAGATTAGAGAAATGTGCCTTTGATTAGCCTATCTTGAAGTCCTAGGATATAAAATTTCAGTTCAAGGCATCAGGATGGACCTAGAAAGAGTTTTGTTGTGTCAGAACCTTGTATTAAATGTGAGTTGCGAAAAATAAGGTTTGCCAATGTTTATCATATGTTTTTATTAAACTTTTTTCTACCATAAGTTCTTATTAAACAGCTTACAAATCCACTGACTGATCTACTAGAAGGTAAAAAAAAAAAGGGCTTTCACTCATTTCATTTTGAGTCAGAAAGGAGAAAGAAAGAGGGTGGTGACCTTTTCATGACACATCTATCCCATCAGTCACCACTTCTGAAATACAATTCCCAAGGTACATTACTCCCTGCCTAGGTAGTGTACCTCTTCTACATTGGTCTACACATAGAGGTTGGATGGCTGGACCAGTTCCTGCAGTTGCCACTCTTTCCAGAGGACTCTGTGGTAGTTGCATACTAGGACCATGGAAACCATGATCCTGGGTTCAGATGAAGCAAAACTCCTGGTATGAGGCTGTAATTGGGGAGTGAGAAACAGTATCTCGCTGCCTTTATTTAGTCTTCAATTGGCCACCTAGTGGAGCTTTTTAGGATTGTCCAGGGCCTGTTACATGCTGGCCCCAAGGACATCCCAGACCATTCTTAGGAAGCCCTGCAATGGAATATCTGCTAGGCACTTCTAGGACTAAATTTCTAACAGGATGTAAATTTAGTATTATACCACTTGAATGCCTCACTTGAGGTATGCAGAACACAGCCAGGTCCAGCTTTCTTGCATACATTTCGGTTGCGGACATTGACAAGATGCTTGGACATGTTTGTGCAACAACTTTCATATGGGATATTTGCTCCTCCTGATTAGAGAAGCAAGTGAGAAAAAAAAATCATCTAGGTCCAGGAGGTAACCAGTATTTATTTGTGACTGGGAGGCATCCCGCACTGCCTGAAAGTGGTGGCAATGTGGCCCTTCCTGAAGAAATCCTCTGTGGGATCAGAAGGTATGAAGAACTCCAGGCTGGTAGCAAAGGGTATTTTCCTAGGCAAGGTCCTTGAGCAGGTAGTAGAACAGCTTCTTGTATGAGAGTAATTATCTGGATCTATTTCAGTGAGGGTTCATGGTTGGGTTTTGCCATGGAAACAGGTTTGTTCACTTTGTATGTTGGTGTTGGAACAGAGGTGGGAAGTGTGACAATCTGGTTACTCCTGCTTCTCTCAGTAGCTTTTGATACCCTCAACCATGGTATTCTTCTGAGATAGCTGTCTGAACTGGGTGAGGGGGTATTGTATTACAATGATACCATTCCTATTTGGATGGCTAGCTCCAGTGGGTGGTTTTTGGGTAACATTACTCAGCAATGTTGATTATCCAGAAGATTCCTCTGTTGATGTTCTGCTGAGTCCTCATGGGACAGTTGTCCCTCTGCTTTTCAATATCAGCATGCAACTGCTTATTAAGGTCACCCAGAGTGATGACACCCAGCTCTTAATTTTCCTTGTTGTCCTTCTTTTGTAAAGCTGTGGATGTACCAAACCAGTGTTTGGCTGCAGCAATTAATTATTCTGTATTAAATATTGTTCCCATTTTTAAAAATTGAAAATGGTGTACTTTGGAAAAGTGTAATGGCCTTATTATGGTCTGGTTTTTAGAACAGTTGTACACTGTCAAGAAAGCTTGGACTATTATGTGTAATAAAAAAGAAATTATTCATGATTTGCAAGAGCAGCTACTAAGAATTGATTAATTGATCAACATATTCTACAGGTAAGCCTCTAAGGTACCTGGCCATGTACTCTTCTCAAAAGCTGCATCATCATTTCATGTAAATTGGCCACTGAACAAGGGCAACTTCCTCCTACTTCTCTTTTCAGGAACCAAAAAATTAATTGCCAAGTGCTGTTTAATTGTGTCAATAAATATCTTTGGTGTTTAAAGGCTATACGGATAGATGGTAGAATTCAGCATTTAGAGAAATCACTAATCAGATAAAACCATTCCACGAAATGACTGTTTGACTTTTTCAACCTTACTGTAAATGGTGCTACTTCAGGGCCACTATTTGGGTGTTGGGCTATTTTTGGAGGGTGCGAGGTTTATGCAACCTTTTTCCACTGCCCAGGACGCTTGCTTCTCCCACAGAGTTCCCTCCAGTTGACGCAGAGTAATGTTTTGTTTCTGTTCCACGGCAAGTTGAGGAACGTGAGGGAATCCTCTCTGTGCAATTTCGTTTTGAGTACTTTCAATTTGAACTATGTAGGCTGCGCTTCTGCGCAGTATGATTAAGCAGTCTTTTATCTGTGAATATTACAGAAATGGATTTCCCTAGCTGTGACCTTTCGAAAGATATATGTATCTCTTCAAAGCGCTTTGCCCTGTGAGAAAGGCTGTGGTTATTGTAGCTAGTAGTACTAACTGGCTTCTATAATCTAGATTATGGTGAGTACATCTTTCTTTACTTGTGTTTAGATACATGCTGATTTCCAATTAAAACCTTTTCTACTCAATATTTTAAATAATTTTTTTTTCAAATAAACCATTTAAGAGCCAGTGTGGCATACTGGCTAGACTGTTGGACTGGAACCTGGAGATCCAGCTTCCAGTCCCTGTTTGAGCATGAAGCTCACCGGGTGAGCGTGAGTCAGTCATTGACTCTCGGCGTAACCCACCTCATAGGGTTGTTCTTGCAAGGTTAAAATGGAGAGGAGGACCTTGTAACTTGCCTTGTATTCCTTGCAAAAGGAAGACAGGGAAGATATAAATGTAGTGTAGTAGCAGTAATAATAATATGCTCTGTTTTAAAATATTCATGTATTTAGTCTAGAAAATATAGCACAAGGAAGAGTTCTATTCATTTCTTTCCGATAACTGGTTGACTCTAATAAGGTTGTTGTTTTATTGTTCCTGTGATTTCCCTATTGGATCAACTCATTTGTTTATTTATTTGAATTATTAAATGAATCATATCATAATTTATTGATGTGTTTGACAACAATAATAATAAGACAAATAAAATAACAAGAAAATCAACAATATAACACTAATAAATGTGCTAACACAAGATAAACTACAACATCAGACATAAGAGGTAAAATCATATTGCACAGAAAAATAATTAAATAAATATACTAAAATATTGTGAAATACTTTCAGGCATGATTCTATTCATGCTTAGATAAAAAAGGGACAACTTCTGGCATCGCACCCCTATTTCTGTCTGAACATGCACACCTGCAGTCCCTTGACCTAGCATGTAGATTCTTAATTAAATTAAATATAATTAATCGATGCTTTGCCTGCAGAACTCCACCAGACCAGTTGGAGTCCTGTTAATTCCAGTAAGAAAAGGATCTGATGGTAGATTGCAGGTGCTTTCATACAGATAAGCTAATACTGGAAGTAGCCCAATGGCCTTATGCAGTATATTACAACTTTATATAGCTATTATTCTTATTTCATAAAGTGAACAAGATTTCCTCCCAAATATATAGAAAATCAGTGCTGCCTCAAAGTGCTGTGCCTGAAACTAGCAAGATTATTGACAGAAGAGTGCAGGACCCTAATGCTAAGAACATCAGAATTCAGGATGTAAGAATAGCCCTGATGCATCAGACCAAGGGGCTTATTTAGCCCAGTATTTTGCTCCCATAGCAGCCAACTAGCAGCCTGCGGAAAATCCACACATAGATCGCAGTCACATCTTCCTGGTCATCTTACCATACCTGCCTGTGTTCCAAAAGTGACATATCCAATCCAGTCACAGAGTGTCAGGTAGGAAGTAAAAAGTTAGGTGTTGAAGCCAGATTTCCTTCTTGGCTTTGTTAATAGGAAAAAAAAAACAACCTGGAAGCAATCAGGTAGTTCCAAGAATTATTCTTCATTTAGCTTACTATGTTTCAATTAATGCTTCCTAGTCTTTGAATCAGACTGGAATTTGTGTCTCAAGAAATGTGTTATCTCCTCAGGATCTAAGATTTTAACCAATGATTGGTAGGAATGCGTGTGTAAGAGCATGCTTCTGTGTACGTGCACAGTGGGAGCACCTTCCTTCCAGTGCTTTTCTGAGGCTATCCCCAGAGCTGAACTATTTGGGGCATTCTGCTATTGTGCTTTGCTTTCAAGTTGCTATGAGCTAAGGACCTTAGGTATGTCAATGGAAGCATGAATAGCAGAGTCCTGTGCCATATCACTCACCTTGGTAGCCCTGGGCAGACAACCCCTATTTCTACAATAATTGTTGCAATAGGAGGAGGAGAGACAGGACACTTGCTAGTTCCAGATCCCTCTATATTGCTTCGTTCTTCTGAGCAGAATCATGTAGGAGCTGAGCATGCATTTGCAAAAATGCAGAGTGAGAGAGAGTTAGCACGTATAAAGGTTGTAGATGGGTAAGCTTGGTACAGAACATAAACAGGAATTTTCAAGGGAAGAATGATTTCATAGATGATGAGGACAAAAATATGTATTAATGTGACATGCTGTATCAGAATACTGTTCCCCTTTATAAATATTTTAAATATGGCTGTCTCACAATAATCCGTGAATAAGAATAAATTCCTACAGGTTGTGTAGTGATTATGTTATGAACTGCCCAGAGAGCATTGGCTATTGGGTAGTGTAGAAATTAACTAACTAATTAAATACATGAATAATAATAATTTGTGGCCTTACCCCACCCTTTTTTTTCTTTAAATAGCAAAACAGAGATTTGACTCCTTAAGTCAGGGGAAACTGGAAAAACAAGGCTTTCATTAATGCTAAATTTTCCTCTCCTCTTTTTATTAGAGTGACCATTGGCAGTATAACTCCAGCTGTAAAGGCTCTCAGAAGAAGGTTCCAGATATGCAAATACTGCTGTCTGATCCAGAAAGGTATTAACTGTTTGATATCAAAAAAGTTACATTAGGTTTTGGGAAAGCCTTTGAACAAGCTGACCTGCTGTACTAATACAAGTGGTGCTCCGACATTAATGAAATCGGTATCAATGAAGCTGAGCAATGGCACCACTGGGCAACAGGAAACCGGTGCTCTGAATGGCTACTTTGGCAACTGCCATGCCTATTCCACTCCTCTCAGTGCTGCAGTGGTGTCCCCTGGGTACTGGCCAAAGGACTGAGGGGGAAGATGGGAAGGAGTAGATCCCGCCCCCCGCCCTGCTGTGTATGTTTGTTGGGCATGGAAATTTTTAGTCAGAATATGTTGTGTGAATACACCCAGAATATTACCCTGCTCAACCCTATCTATCCTCTTCAGCTATCTTGTAGCATATTAGCTGTGAGGTGATAGGACTGAAGGAATTTAACCAGAATCTTAATTTACTTACTATTTCATGAGATTTAGCATGTGGGGTAAACAGGAGCCTTGCCAGAATGCTTTTGTAAAGTTGTCCTCAAGATGAAGAAGAAGGGCATGGTGATGATGTGAAAAGCAAGTCCGAAAGCTACTCTTTCTCTGGCTTATGTATGGATCCATGTTGGTTTCCCTCTTTCCATGATCTGCTTCCTGGGAAGAAGGCATGCTGCCTCTCTCCCTATCCCCACATTATCTTGGGTTATGGGTGATTCCGGAATGTGTGTACACTAAAGTAAACAGTTAAACAAGATGTAGCTGCTTGAGATAGAGTAAAAGAAGTATAGTGGGAGTTGGGAATCTCAATGTTTCATAGATCTCCTAAAGACACACTGTAGCTAACTGGTAAATTAGAGGAGAAATGGCAATTCTGTTGTGCACTGGATAGTCATCTTTTTCCATGTACAACCTTTTGCTATGGAATACATGCACTAAAACTGAACTACATTTGAATCAATGTGGTCAATCAACTTACGTGTTTTCTGATTACTGCTTATACTATGTAAGAATTGGATTGGAGACACCAAAGTATCGATCTAGTATTAAGGTTAGTTAAAGTACAATCCTTTGGCTTCCTGATATTGTTTGGGGGAGGGGGGATAGGATGATTTGGGACCCCAGCTCCAGGGTTCTATGACCTTGAAAATGCAACTCTAATTGCCAAGCTCCCATCCTGCTCCCCAGAGGGCTGATATGGAAAGAACTGAGCTTGTTACCTCTCTGAGGCTGCTGATTACCCTTCGAGAGTAGGAAGAGGACTGTACCAGAAGGAGGGGAGGAGGCTGACACCACCATTTCCACCTTCTTTCCCTGCTGCTTCACAGTGCTTCATCTAAATGGCCAAAATAGCCATCCAGATGAAATGTGCATCCACAATGCATGTGCATAAGCAGCTTGCCACCTGAGCAGGGGGCATTGGATTGTGCTGTTATTTGCCTTTTATTAAAAAGGAGCAGATTCAAAGTGTGGCTTTAGTTAATTCATATGGCATTTTGATATTGTTTTTCTAGGACCCAGATGTTTCCATGAAGAGCATTTATCTCTATTTTTGTTTTGTTATTATTTCTATGGTTCTTAAAAATTTAGCAGAAGCTATTAGGAAATAATTGGTTCAGTCCATATTAATAGCACTATGTTTTTCCAGATGTGTCATTTCATAGCCAAGCAGCTGTTGCATATTAGCTGTCCTTGAAAACCTTCATTCCTTTTTCATAAGGAGAACAGAAGCACAGTGACATTTATAGGGTGACAGGCAGATGTTTTGGTTGAATCAGGGCTGAATGAAAGTGGTGCTGATTTTCTCTTTGTTGTCCTTATCACGTGTTTATATATTTTGAATCTCTGTGTATCTATATTGTGCCACAATGCCTCTTTTTTCAGCCAGGAAAGGGCAGTAGTTTTCTATTATCCTGTATATGTTTATGAACATAGCATAGATCAAAGGTCCATCTCACTGAGCATTCTGTATCCCACAGAATGCTTCCAGGCTAAAGTTCCCTGAAGATATCGACATCCCATGTGCATAATATATACTCCTGTATATGTCTTAACTCTACTTCTGACTGTGTGAGAGCTCTTTGTTGCTGAGCATCTTTTGCTGGGAAAGACGTATATGTGAGGTTTCTTGTTCCTATTATGATGTAGCAGAGAAAACTGCTTATATTTATAGGGGGGCTAGGGAAGAAGATTCTACATGATTTCATCCTCCTTCGATCTGAGTAGACATGCAGAGAATTTGGATGCTATTTGAAAGTGCTGCTGAGTTATTCAGCCCTATTAGAAGCAAACACACAGATGGTTCTTTATAACAGTTTAACAGTTCTATAGTTGTTAAACTTTCTTTTGGGCAATCCTTGGAGCCTTTCACAGTGCTATGAGACATGGTTGAAGTGCAAAGGCCTGATATTGGCGATTAAGGGAGTGCACCAGAGGGCTGTTTCTCATAGTGGGGGAGTGCCGGACTGGTGAGGAACCTGCCCATGGCTAGCTTGTTTGCAAAACATGAGTGCCAGAGTATAGTTGTAGCAAGGCTTCTGCCTAAAACCTTCCATAAGTGTTCATAAATCATTAAAGATTCACCTGTTCTTGGAAGATCATGCTGTAAAAATATTTGTGATTGCAGAAATGCTCATCCCACCTGGCAGGAGCTAAAATGTGCAGGAATCATGGATGTTCACCTCCTGAGGGAAAACCCATTCATCCCAGTTCAGGGAATCCCCCATGTTCTTTTTCTGGTCCCCCATCATGACATCAGTGAGGTGCAGCTCATTCAGAATGCAGATTATGTTCTTCAAAATTTCACATACAGTAGACCCCCCTATTCTGAAGATAGTACCAAGGGGAAAGCATCAATGTTAAAAGCAAGTTTGTACAAGGTCAGCACCAACTGTTTTTCCTGATACAGATTTCCACATTATTGTGTCTGAACAATAGATTATAGGCCCAATTTCCTAAGTAAATTTCAAAAGTATTCTGAGACATGCAGAAAGTGTTGTGGACGTCCACTTTCAGACTTGAAGTCCATTGGTTTGGTGCACAAGAGTGACCACTGACATGCCTGTGCTGAGCACCTCCATCACACCAGCAATGACCATGGTGTCATAGAATCATAGAATAGTAGAGCTGGAAGGGGCCAGAAGGCCTTGAATCCAGTGCATGACTCCCAGTTAAACCATCCCTCTCAGATGGCTGCCATGGTCTCCTTCCATAGAGGCAAACATTTGCATCTCCTGCATGCCAATGCACCTTCCTACAGCAGCCTGAGAAAGTCCTGCTTTGTTCCCTTGCCTCCACCTGCAGTATACAGATGCAGAAGATTAAGGAATCTGGTGCAGGCTGGGATGTCAAGATGCAGCTGGAATCTGGCTCTCTTGCAATTGCTGGATTTCATTCCAGTGCTTAGTCCTGGCCAAGAAGGGCACCAAGATCAAGTCTGCAAATGTTCAGGAATCTAGTGGTCCCCTTCTTTGTGCAAAGTACACAAAGCCGGCCAATCATATGTGTGAATGCAGAGAAGGGAGCAGAAGCAGCGCTGTGAGAAACATTGACTTGTGTTGGTTATTTTGGACCCCTTGGTGGAGAGAAGCCAGCACCATTAGTATTGACAGGTGGCAGAGAAAGGAATGTCAGAAAACTCTCTCTCTAGCCTGCACCGTCAATGGGGCTTAGTGAGTAGTTCTTGGTTCATTGACCAAGTTCAAATTTGTTCTGCTGCACATATCCAAAGGAAAGAAGGTATTGCTTTCAAAACTAAATTTGTGAGTCAGACTACTTTGTGGCTAAGAATGCAGACTATTGGGAATGGCCATCATTGAACAAAGAAAGAGGTAGAGGAGAGAAACTGAAGGAACAGAAAAATGTTTGGGGGCAGCAATTGCTATTCAAGCTCCCCACAGCACAGCATCCCATTACCACAGAGGCTGTAAACATACCTTTTCACCAAAGATGCCAGATGCATTGATGTTGGCAGGTGATCATAAGCTTTCAATGAGTATGAGTGTGAACCATTTCAAAGAGTAATTTAGATCCCTGCACACCAATGGGACATCTAAGGAATGACATGCATATTGCTGCCTGCAACTGTCCTTGAAAGCACACTTGGTGAAGCAGCTCTCTGTTAATTTTTATTAAGATGGAAGCAGAAAGGGAAGAACTAAAGCCATATGCTAGGAAAAAGAAGGTGGGTGTTCTGGGCTGCTGGTGTGGTGGGAATAAGGGAGTTAATGAGTATTGGCACCTCTTTCATTCTGTTTTTCCTCTTCTATCCAAACCTTCATTGAATAATCTGCTTGGTGATGACAGCTCTGCAGACATTGCTAAGGTCTGCCTTTACCATATCTTCCAGTAGTGTGGCTGGTTGCTCTGTAGGTTTTGTGATATAACGTAGGTTAACCATGGACCCACTATAGGATCCACTGGAAAGACAGGTGGGCACAGTGGCACAGTGAGGAGCACTGACGGCAGTGGACCAGGTTTCCTGTGGGATTCTCGAGTGCTTTTTACAGATTACTGGTCTGCCGAATGAGGTGTTTGGGGTGTAGACCAGGTTTCCTTGTGTGGGAGATTGGAGAGGAAGCATGGCTTGCTCATGATTCTCGGTGGATCATGAAATCTGTATCACCAGAAATCTGTGTGAGCCTCACAAAATCTGTGGGAGCCATGGGTAAAATGTACCCACCTTCATGGAACTCCAAATCAGAGACGCTCAGAAAATCTATCCCTGGAAAGACTTCTGTGGTCATTTGTTCTACCCATTGCAGTGTGGGCAGTGCAGATAATTTATAAGTTCATTTCCTTTGGACAACCAGGTTGTCTAATGCCAGGTCGTGCAGTACCTTCCTCATGGTCCATCCATCTACCAAATGCAGGGCCAGAGTAGTAGACTGGATGTCCTGTAGGCACTGAAGGATTTCCAAGTGCTTTTTAAGCTTGCATAGTGTGTCTCAGCACTTGATTGTCCTTGTGTGTAACCTGTATCATGGACAGGAAGCTACTGTTAGGACAGAACATGGAGAAACAGAATGATTTCCTAGAGGCAAAGCTGTTGGAGAAGGGTGTATTTTATCTCCTCTGTTCAGTCTGTGTGCAGAACATATGAGAAAGAAGGCTAGATTAGAATCAGAGAAAGGAGTGAAAAATGGCAGAAGACACATCAACAATTTAAGATATGATCTTACAGGCAGAAAGCAGCAAAGAATTGAAACAACTCCTGCTGAAAGTAAAAGAACAAAGTGCAAAAGCAGGAGTGCAGCTGAATTTTAAGAAAATGAAAATCATGACTACAGAAGCATTGCACATTTTTACTGCTAATGATGATGAAATTGAAATTGTGAACGATTTTATATAGCTTGGTTCAGCCAAGACAATTTCAAGGTCCTGTTTTGCCTTTCTTGTGCTCCTTTGTGTAGTATATTTGAACTGGATTGTCTTTCAGATAGAAAATAACTTTAAATAAAGGAACTGACCTATGTAAAGTAGGACACCTGGCCATCCTATCTCCTAGGACAGTGGGTGCCAAATAATCATTATAAATAAGGATGAATTCAACAGCAGAACAAGTCTGATTTATTTTAAGAGAGGTTTTTGTTGTTGCTTTTGTTTTTTAACAAAATGTGATTTATAAATGTATCTGCCTAATAACGTGTTTTGACTTCTGTGCACACACAAAAACACACAATTAGTAGGATTTTCCCCAGTTTTATTTTGTGGTAGGCATCTTTATTCAAGCCCCACAGACCTGACTCCCAACCTAATTAAAAGAGTGATTCTGAAAGGTGAGAGCAAAATGATGCCATTTATATTACTCCTTTACACTGTGAAAAGGTAAAGGAAATGCTTTCTATATATATTTTCTAACATGGAATTTCTTAAGAATTTACCTGGAGAAAAAAAGAAGTATTTCCTGCTTGACAAAGCGTTAGATAATTAGATCTTTTACAAGGAGGATGGGGGTTTCCTGGTTTCCTCTTAAGTCATCAGGCTGAAAGTAAATGAAATGTCATTCCCGGTGGATTTTGCAAGTCAGACTCCACAATCCTTTGGTTAAGGTAGGATGATGAAACTGTTCTTATCAGGGCAGGTGATTGCATACTATTCTAAATGCTCACCTGTTTGGCCTACCTTTGGGACTTGGCTAATTCTAGAACTTGCCTATTCTTCTAAACCTCAGGAAAATCTCTCCAGTCTCTGGTCTTGCAGCAAACATCTAATATCATGCTCTGGTGGCTTTAAAGAACAAAGACACAATTGCTGCACAACACAATTGCTGCACACTCTTCAAGCTGCTTTGTTGTACACCTTTCCACAGTTCCTAGTAATGAGAGTTGGAAAATAACCTCAAGGATAACCTTAAGGATATCAACATTGCATGTTCCTGAAGTTTGGATTGACAGGTTTTTTTTAACCAGTTCCCTCACATGCAGTTTTTAATGTGGCAATAAATAAAAAAGGAGGAGGGTCGCATTGTTTTGGGGAATGAACTGGCACTGCACAGAAAGCTTTTAGGACAGGATCAGCACTGACAGTGTACAGCCCTGTTCCTTGCTAGTTGCAAGGAACACGTGTTCAAATCTCTCTGCCCTAAATTGTGGCCTTGGGCAAGCCGAAGTCCTCAGCCTGTGTGAAGCAGGCCCTGGTGATGGGAAGAAGGGATTGCATTGTAACCACGTTCATTTGTTTGGACTCAGCTAATTCTGATCAGCTGCCAGAATGCCATTCTGTTGGTCAGACAAACGAAGTAATTGTCAGTAAGAAAGTCCTCAACACAACTTTAGTCTATAACTTTAACTAATGAACCATACTTTAAACACTGGTGAGACATGGATTTTTTTCAGGGCTGTAAGTGTAATATTGGAAAAATATTGGTGTCTCAGACCAGCAAGTGCGGGTTTTACATGGAAGCAGCTGCCTTCATGCACTTTGGATGCACTTGTACAACTGCATACATACCCCCATCAGCATCCTCATGGCATTGCACTGCTATTAACCTGCTAGTAACCGCTTTGATGTGGATCGCAATGTGTGTCTGTACCTGTGGCCTGCAACCACAGCTGGAGTGGGCCCACATTAAAATATAACTAAGGGAAAGTTAGGTCCGTATCTGAAAGTGGTTTCTCTTTCAGTATTTTTGACCCATTGAGGAAAACCATTTTGAGTATATGCACCTGTAAACTATATTGATTGCATACAAGCAAGCAAGCAAGCAAGCAAGCAAACAAGATAACCCTTAGCCTTCAAAATGGGTTGGCTTCTTCTGCCTTATTGCCTTGTGTTTGCATTACATGTCATATACTGTGTTATACCAGTGGAACAGCAGCTCCTTGTAGGCATTTCACAGTGGTTTTGCAGTACCTTCTGAAGTAGAAATCATCTTCATGGCAGTACCTATTAACATAAGCCTAAAGTGAGTCTAAAAATTCTAGCAATTTGTTGTTTTAAATCAGCAAACTAGTTCAACCAATTTTAGCTCCATTAGCTGCAGAGCTTTTGCAAATCTAATGAGTCATAATGAACCAGTGAAGAACAAAGCATGTCACTGGAACAGGGAATGGTGTATTGTTGCTGGAGTTTTCATTCCTTCTCTCATCAGCAACTGTGAGAATTGCAGAAAGAGCAGGGAAATCTGAGGACAAGGAGATGGAAGATTATGTATGTGATCCTTTAAATAAAAATTGTCCCATTATGTCTTTATAAGCATTGGTGCCACTATACCACTTTGCATGTGCAAGGGATAATTCGAAGCTTCTTCCAACCTGGATGTTTTGGATTTCAAGTGTTAGCCCCAGCCAGAATGGCCAATGGTTGGGAATTCTGGAAAGTGCCATACATCTGGGGACTGAATTTCCCCCACCAACTGTGATAGTTGTGAAACTCAGCCATATCCTTAAAGCAGATGCATTTGGGAATGAGAGAAGGTTTTACATTTGAATGTGGGCAGGAAAAAAATGCAAAACCATTTGCAGGCAAGAGTCTCAAGGGACCTTTCCCAGGTGTGTGTTAATTTGTGTTGCTTGCACTTTTCAGGAGTGTAAAAGCACATGTAAAGCATAAAGTGGCAAAAAGAAATGTTAGTTGTATGCTTCAGAAGGAAAGTAGTACACATGGCTGTCCAAAGTGAGCTCTCATAAAACCATTAAGTAAGAAGTCTAAACTTTCCTGTGCCACTGGCCTGGGGATAATTTAGGGTACAATCCTATGCAACTTTTACCATAAAAAATGCTTAGAACCCTCAGACTATCGACTGTAGCAGCACTTCTTAATAAGAAACAATAGTAGCTGCAGATATCTCCAGTGCTGCTTTTAGAGTTTCCAGCTGTATGTAGAGTTTCGTACATACAAATTTGTATATGACATCTTGCAAAAATCATCTTTTATTTGGCAATAAGTATTTTTCTAAAAACTCCAATTTGACCTCCAGCTTTTGGAAAGCTTTACAAAACTTTATGGAATCTAAAACTGTCATTCTCTGTGTTGTATGCTAATATGTTTGAATGAATATGGCTTTTATCAGATACTTTAAAGGTTGCAATGTTTGCAAACCCCCCAGAAAACTTTTCCCCTTGGATGATATAAAATGTGAGATGTGAAATGTAATGAAACTCCAAAGATAAAATTGCTAACTCTTTCATCACTGATTTAATAAATACTTTGAACTGCTAGCAGAATGCATTATTTCTTTAGCCAACATTCTCGTTTGCTTTAGACATTAAGATATTTTTTCTTCCTCTTCCTCAACTAGATGTGACAGTAGAGAGCTTGATGATGAAATAAGGATTCTGATAGGGAAGAACAGTGCTTCAGAGTCCAGTAAGAGTCTGACTGTAAGTAAATTTCTTTTCACTTTGTAATTCTTGACAAGCTGTTTAAAGTCAGCAGGATGTGTCTTGCTCAGTTGTATGCAGACTTCCATTATTGCTTAAATGATGGAATAAATAGTCTTTTAGTACCCCCTCCTCCCACTGCTTTGTGCTATGGGAAAACGCTCCCATGTGAAGGCGTTTCTCTTCAGTACTTTAAGAGATGACTGCAGCGGTGTTCTTGTGCGGGTTTATAATAAGCTGCTATGAAATTGTCATTCAAGCAAGAGGTTTCAAATTAAGCTATCAGTGTAGCTGGACAGATGATTGTATTCTGCAGGTCTTTTAAATTTTTAGGACTGGTATTAGTTAATGCAGTTCGGGAAGGGAACTGGGAATGGAGCAACCTGAATGAATAAATGATCTTACATTAATGACATGATTTGTTGGTCCTGGTGATGGGAGCACTGTTTTTATTGTACTGTTTAATTATGTTTATTTGTAATGTTCAATTAGTAATTGTGTAAATATTGTTTATTAGTAATGCTTAATTATGTTCATTGTTATATTATATTTAAAAAATAAAAAGTGGTTAGTGGTGGGGATGTACAGACATCCATATCATAATCCTTTGATAGTTACACATTCTTGTTTCTTTAAATGGCAGTTTTTTCCCTAAAGAGCCTCAGATCTGCATAACCACCGTAACAGTGTTACCTGTTTGACTTTTTTTTCAGCCTTTCATAATGTCATATTTTTCATGTGTCTGCTGTAAAATCTGTATGATTTTTAGGTGTACATTTCTTTTTAAACTGAAAGGTGTTGTAATGAGATGGGGGTTGTGGGTTGGTCAGGATAAACTTTCAGGGATCCAGCCCAATGATTCATTAGTTTTGGACCAGGGTATTGCTTAATAAGGCCCAAACTGGTTGGACAAGTTTAGTCTGGAAGATGTTCCCCTTTGCAGTGGATATTAGCTTGCTAGCCATCCTTGCTTGTCATTTAGAATGACAAGCAGGTGGTCTTGGCCTGCTCAGAAGAAAGCTATACTTTCACAGCCTGATATTTGGACTGGGACAAAATGGAGAAGATATATCAGACAGATTTTAGTTTGGCTCTTGAAACATCATGCTGGGTACCCACTGGACAAATCTAATATGGAGCAAGGACCTTCAGAATGTTTGCTGAGAATGCTAATGCTGTTAAAATCCACCAAATCACAACTTGTAGACTGGTAAATAAATGCAAATGCTAGAAGATACCGAAAAGTCTCTCTGGTGTCCTCATTCTGAGGAATCCAAGCCCTGAGATAAGTGCTAGAAGCCCTGAAACCGTTTTGGTTTGGAGAACTGGGTGCATCTAACAATATAAATGAAAATATTAATATTAATAGGTTAGGTAGACAGGCAGTTCTCATAAGCTTTCTTTCTTCCCTGTCTGCTGCTGCAATGCCCTTTTGTTATTATATGATGCTTTTGTGATTTTATATGCTTTGTAGTTATTATATTTTGAATGTATTTGTATTTTAAAATCATCACCATCATCATCTTGGGCATGTGACTGAAGAATGGTATAAACAATGCTCAAAGAAGTAAATAAGCTACTACTTTTAGCAGGTTCCCCTTTCTCTTTCAATGATATTCGCTAAATTTTCTCCATGTTCTTCCTTTCTAGGAACATTTTGAATCTTACTAACCCGTCTCTCTGAGAGTCAAAGCAGACATTACTTTAAATCCATATTAGCAGCTATGCCTATTTTAATTGTTACACTAGGGTAGATTCAGGACCCCAATCTGGATCAGAATTGTAGTGGGAGGGATAAGGAGACTTTGAAGATACAGCTCATGAATCTACTGTAGAGTTAAAATAAGGGTGAGCTGAAATATAATATCTGCTTTTGCTCTAAACTGCACCCAGTGGTCCAGAATCAATGTGGTTATAGGAAGAAACTGAACTAGAAAGAAATTCCCACTCAGCCCTGAACGTCACTGGGTAACCAAGAACCAGTCATTATGTTTTCACCTAACCTGTCTTGCTGTGACCTTTGTGTGAGAGTACATTCCTTGTTTTCCGCTCCTTGAAGGAAGGTCATGATAAAATGAAACAGAACACTTCTTGTTCTTCTGGACCATGTCTTTGGCTTTGTTTTGTCCTCCTGCTTCTGTGACTATAATATGACTTATATTAGCCTTAAGGCCCAGGGACCAAATGTGACCTGTCTGGGCTCCCAATCTGGACCATTGGGATTCCACAGAAGAACATAGCCCTTTCCCCCAACTACCTAGTCTCAATTGCCACCTGAAGCAGAAGAAAGGACACACCGTCATACTTTCCGCTCCTTTCCCTTGCCCCACCCTGGCCTCAGTGTGTCTCTTCCTGTCACTGGTATGTCATGCCCTCTTTGCTCATCTTTGCCGCTTACTTTTGCTACCATATTGGCTTTCCTGGCTGCTGGGATGTTGTGAGATCTTGGCCAGCTGGGTCTCAGGAGAGCTTTCTTGTGCCTTTCAAGAGCCCCACAGCCACTTCTTCTGGCCACACAACGGTTACAATGAAGGCACACAGTGGAGGAGACTGAGGCCAGTAGGCTGCTGCAGAGACTACTGCTGGCCTCTCTTTCTGGTGACAATATTGAAATGAACATACAGTTTGTTTGTGATTCCTCTCTCCTTCATCCTGTGTTGATTAAAGCCATACAGAGAATGCCTGAATAGGGCTTGTAAAAGCAAAAGAACAGTCTTGCTTCATCCACATTGTCGTCTACTACTCTTTTTTTCAGCAATGTTTAGCCAGATGACAGTAAAAAGCAGAGCAGGGTAATGGTATCCGTTTCTTGTTGCTTGTCCCCTGCATCTGGCAATTAGAGGTAGATTGCTTTTGAACTCCAATAAGTTCTGATGTCACTAACACAGTCCATGAATATTTTTAAAAAGCCACAAGAAAAGAGTGAAGAAATCCAAAGAAAAACAGACAACCAGTTTATTTATAATTTGCATGAATGGAATTACAAAGAAAGAAAGATTACACAATCTAGTGAAAAATAACTGCAAAAAAGTAGTGTAATTGATTGTCCCCCAATTTTAAATGTTTTAGATTTCAAATAGAATTCCACACCCCCTTGTCTGTTTCAAAATGTATCAAATGCTTTTAACCCTGCTAAAATTAAACCAAGTGTAACACAAGAGCAAGGCAAAGGTAATTCACAGAAATATCTGATTACTGTATCCTATAGAAGACAAGTGAATATTGTTTGTTGTATATTTTGAGGACAGGATGTGGCACATATATCTGAGCTGTCTTGGGATGTTCCTGAGGCCCCACTTGTATTGTCTCTAAAACCCATTTGGGGCAAAAGTGGGTCTGCATACCTTTCTATAATGTTTACAGTTTCTAAACCGCAGATTTTGATGGCATCCCTTAAACTGACATCTTGTAACCCAAAGGCTCTTATAAGAGTGTTTTTGGGACTTACGTGTAAACAAATTCCTTCTGCTTCCTTCCTCTTTTTATACAAACCAGGAGAACTTCATAAGGAAAATACAACTAGGTTTAAAAGATACCACATGACCGAGATATGCTGTGAGAACCTAACAGGACTGTGAACATCTGCTTCATGCATCAGTGATTCCATCTGTAATAATTTTTCATTGCAGTGTCATGCTATTATAGCCTTTTCTTGAGGCCCAATGATCTTAATTATTCTTATTTTCATTTCCCTGTATGAGTTCAAGGTAAGAGTCAACATCATTATGAACATTCATCTGAGCAAAAAATATGAGTGCTTCTTCCTTAAGAAGATCACAAGCAAATTAAATCTGATGCTGCAGCCTCTAATAGAAGAGCATATTGTGGCCATATTCCTCACATAGGTTAGCACTTGTCATGTTTCTTGTGTTTGTCCATACAACAAGTCCTGGAAATGAGAATACTTGAAATTTTAAGTAGCCAACAAGCAACATGTGGATTTCTGTTTCTTGTTCCGATATCCACACAGAGTTTATTTTACACCAAGTTCCTCATTCTTTTACCACAGTCCCTAATTCTTAATTATTTGTTTCTAACATGCCTAGGTTTTTATTTATTTTTCTTAATTGCTAATCTTTATAACAAGTTCCAAATTATTTTTACAACTTATTCATCTTATACTAGGAAAAAGTACGGTTTATTTTCTCAGAGTTCTTTTTACCCGTGCAATCCAATGGGAGAACTGGGGTTGACTAACCTGCAAGGAGAATATTCTGGAATCCTGGCTAGGGTGAAGGACTAGATCCACTATAAGTAGTGCCCTGCAGGGCTGTTTTAAAATATGTCTTTTTGTCACCATACATTTTAAGATGCCTGAAAAAATGATATGAAAAGTGATGCTCCCCACCATTTTTCTGCCCACAGATAGGATGCGGGATCTGAGAAGTTATATGACACTCCTGTAATGGCATAAAACATCCATTCTCCAGTTTCCTTTGCCTCAAATGATCAGCACATTTCACAGCATGGCCTTTGAACTGCCTTTTCCAACCCAGTGCCCTACAGATATGTTGGACCACATCTTCCTAGCCAGAGGGAGCTTGGCTGGGGAAAGACAGAGGCCAGTGTCATCTGTAAACATGTATATTCTACTTAAGAAAGGACATTGATCCTTTAACACAGTGCATGAGAAAGGGAATGACTGAGAATTCTAGGAACAGAAGGAAGAGATGCAGTACAAAAATAATAATGAAAGGCAGAGCCCAGCTTGCAGAGATGAAAGGAGAGGAGGAAGGACATGGGCTCTGGTCCCAGAAACCGCTGAAGATCATGGGTTTTGTTGGCAAGGCAGTGTCTGTACTTTACAAAGGCATCTTGAAAGGGAACATAAATAGTAACAAGAGTTCATCAAACTCTTTGATGTGGCTTTTTGCATTTCATGTAAATTTGGTCAGAGGGATTGAAATGTCCTCCTGGGTCATTGATTTTGAAAAGTGCCAGGAGATTTTTTCCCCCCTGAGCTGTATTTTATGGAGATTTTCTCCAAGTATATTAGGCATCACTGAAGTTGCCAATGTACATCCTTATCCAGTTAAAGAAAGAGGCAAATCAAAATAGGATATTAGGCTTACATGAAAGTGAATATCACATGGGCTTCTCAGCAGAACAGAAATTACTTTGGCTCAACTGAAAAATCATTCTTTAAATTAAAAAATAGGAAAATTATTGCTGTAAACCAAGGAACTCTTCTCACTGCTGTAATTTTTATCACTCTGTGATTTAACTCATTATGTTCGAAGGACTGACTTCTATATCTGCTTATGAATCACATGAATGCTTCTAGAACCTAGAAGCCGCTGGCATATGTGTTGGATTTTCAAAAATGTATGGACACGTCATCATCAAACTTTAAATATAAATATATACATCTTCTTATTTGCAACAAACAGGAAAGCATACAAACAAGAAAGGGAGGATTCGTAACATGAAACATAACAATATACTTATCAGTATATACATCTCCCCTGATAGAAGGGCTAGATGCTGGCTATTTAATGAGAACAATGGCTTATTGAGACACATGTTTTGGACATGTCCTCTTGTGGCTTTTGTCTGACTGGAAGTCATTGCTCATGCATATTTTGTTCTTGAGAAATGTGTGATAATCTGATGTCCATGTGCTTTTAAATTACATCCCTGTGATGTGGGGACTACCATATGGGCAGTAAAAGTGGATACTTGACAGTTGCACAGAGACTGTGGGCATCAAAATGAAGATGGGAGGAGTGCTGAGCTGAGAATTGCCTGTGTTGTCTTTTGATCCTGCTCATGAAGAAGAGAGACTGAGGCGCCACCTCATATCCTGGTGGAACTTCACACCTCTGCTCCCCTGCAGAACACTGACTCCAAAATCACAGTTTTGGCTTTGGATCCACACCCAACACAGAAGACGCCTTACCAGCTGTGAGGGTAGAAGGAGGAAATGGCACAGTTGCAGCCCCAGCAATAGTAGTAGTAGGAACCTTTATTGGTATAAAAATGCAATACAATACAAATCTGTACAAATCCACACAATCCTGCAGCGATCCCCCCAAAACAGTATTACTAATGGACCATGGAGTTTATTCCAAGATCAGAGCTGATACATGGACATATCTAATGGCTGTACTTAATTTTGCACTTTTGGACTCCAAGCTTGGAAGGAAAACCTGTGATTACCTATTACTGAAGAGACTGATGAGTTTATTGCTCTTAATGCATTTGCTTCTACAAAAGTCAAGTTTGTATGGATACTTATTTAGTTATATGAACTGTTTATACTGACACATATATTTTAAATGGAAATCTAACCTCCACCACACACACATTTCTTCATGTTCTTTTATTTTTCCCAAATCAAAGGATATGCTAATATTATCCTAACATATTGGTAACTTCCACTCTAACCAGGGTTTTTTTTTTTCTTTAGAATGGGCATGGTATTTTCCCACTCAGTTTTATGAAAAATCCAGATGATGTTTATGCCAAAGTGTTGCATTCATCATTTCTGAATTGTTCAGTCTTTTTTCACTTGTGACTGTTCTCTTTCTTGGGATCAAAGAACATTTGTGTCATCAGTCTTTTCAATGAAGACTGGCAAAGTACCATTGTAGACACATGATTACCATACTTTAATTTCATGACTGTTTTTCAAAAAACATATATGGCTACTAGTTGTTTAATTATTTGTGTCTTTAGTTCTGACCATGGCAATTCTGAATTTATTTTAGCAAATTTCTTCTTCTGATTTGTCATCTGTGACAGTTAAATTATCTTAACCATTAACAAAAAATGATGTGTGGCAATTGTAACATATAAGGATAAAGTAAAAGAGACCAGGCATGGGAAATAAATGTTGCTCAAAGCAGACTGTATTACCCTACTCATTTGCTGTTTTAAAACTGTCTAAAAGTTTAGATTACCTTTAGGGTGCAATCCAGTTTGAATGCCAGTAGCCCTACACACATGGAAGATTATAGACATCCTATGCAGGGTGGGAAAAGTGCAAAGGTGAAGGACAATTCTGTGCTACTAGCACCCTGCAAATTAGACAGGTGACAGAAGTGTGGTGATGCTGACAGGAAGAAAATTGATGCATTTGAAATATCTTGGACTAAGGGAAAAAAGAACCAGTGAGTCCTAGCTCAAATCAAGTCCTAGTAACAAACATAACAGAAGTGAAGCTGTTATACTTGAGGCACATAATGAGAAGGCAAGACTCACTGGGGAAGGCAGGACAATCGTACTAGGGGAAGCTGAAGGTAGAGGATAAAAGAGCTGAGAGGCTGCTGTGGACAGGACATTTTGGAAAGCTTCATTCATGGTGTGACTGTAAGTCAGAGATGACTTGACAGTACATAGCAAGAGTGGTGCTTCAAAAGGGGAGGGAAGGGACATGATTGCATTTGTGACCTTGGAGAAACAGCCAGTGAGGTTCTTGTAGCACCAGCTGGGAACCATATTTGAATTGCACCCGGTTACACAAGGCAGTGTCACAGAAGGCTCCCGGGGGTAGGAAATAGGAGACCTGGTGTGAGAAGGACTGAAATGGAATTGAGTCATTTGAAGGAAGACACAGTCAACAAGAGCACTCCATGCTGCAACATTTTGTTGCAAGTCCCATTTGTAATAGGTCAATAGGCCATGCAGTGTGGCTACAGAAAAACAAACAGTACACTTGAAAGACGGTTGGGCTCACCATTGGCTATTCTTCACATCCTTGTGTCCTGGGCCTCCAGTTTCCTGTGCAGCGGAACTCACCTTGTCTTCCCCTCCCTGCCCTAGTGATTTTTGTTTGCCTTTTCTTTCTTTCTTTGCCTCGAACCCTGAGCTGCTACTGGTGACACTAATGAGCCAGCAGCAGTTGCTCCACAGTGCCTGTTGGGTATCAGTGGATGGGCTGTCACTGGCTGTCTGGTGAGTTCAGGAAGAGGGCCAAGGGTTTTGGGGTTTTTTTGCTGGTCTTGCTGTGTAGCTTGCTAGCCAATCCCTGTAACCTGTTCTGTTCTGCTGGGTTTGAATGGCATGCTAGTCCATCATGGGTTGAACAAAGCCCTTGGGTGGTCAGGGTGTCCTGTGGCCCCCAGGCAAGCCACCATCTGAAAAATGGTCCCGTTTCAGACAACACAGCATTCCACTGTTGCTTGTTCCCTATGATGAGTTGCCATCATGTAGGAATCTGATCAACCAGTTTTATGAAGGATAATGCTAATATTAAAGGTACAATTTGAGACAATAAGGACATAAGGAGAGCCCCGGCAGTGATAGGCAGACTATAAATACTTGTACAAATAAATCTGTATAATAATGATTAAAATGTGAATTTACAGCTAATTTTATTTAAAAGATTTTTTATTATCATATGAAACTCTCAGAAGACTTACTCCATCAATAAAGAAACAGCTATCCTTACATATGTTCATCATAAATCTCCATTTATGCCTTATCCAGTAATCTGAAAGAAATGAATGCTCTGCCACTAAGTGTTTATAGGATCTTATTGCTGTTTAACTTTACATTTTGGAATGTTACCATTCCCTTTCCCCCAATTCAGGTATACCATTTTATTTTGTTGCTAGCTTTACATAGTTTCACCTTAGATGGCCAGTTTCTGTTTCCCAAGGTGGACTTTCCTGTCACGTGTTTGTCTGGTTAGCATACCTAAGCTTTCTTTACTTTAATCTCCTTCTCATTCTTTACATACTTCACTTGACTGAAATATTTCACAATCTCACTGTTGGTGCTGCCTATCTGCCTTTTTAACCCCCTCATTATGCTGACATGTAAATTAATGGTGACTGTGCTGTTTAACATCTGTGCTTCTTTATTTGGATTAGATGGGGATAAGTTACAAGTTCATTAGGATTCCTTTCTTACAAAGCCAACAAATCACTAGAGATGATGAGAAAACAGCCATAATCCAGTGCACTCTTGTCAGGGGATTACAGGCATTCTAACAGGGAGAAGTACAGAGGTGAAATTTGCCTCCATATTCCTTCTGCTCTGAAAAGTAACTGGATGGGAGATTTGGGCTGTTTAACTGCATTACTTTGGACAGGAAGGGAAGGAGGTTGAGGATACACCTTATCTTGGTAGGGATGTTGTGACAGTTCATTCTGGACCAGCTGTGAAGTAGGGTCAGCATGGATCCCCAGCTCAGAATTTTGACCTCTTTTCTAACCTTGGATCTGGAAATCTGCATGGTTCTATGGTCCTTTAGACATTGCCTGGGGGTCCTAGGATTGGTCTGTATGTTAATATGCAGATGTCTGGGATTCAGCTGTAGAAAACGGCATTGTTTCATTTGAATAGTAACAACAACAACAATCAGTAACAATGCATAAAGGTACTTTGTTTCTTTGTCCCTAGCCTATCACCAAATAATTAAAAAAGCTGAAAGCTGTATACTAACAGTATTTAACTTTCACTGGGATAAACAGAAAGCCACACCCAGTTTGTAAAGGACAAAAAGCTATGCACTAACACTGCATAGTACATGGTGTTCTTCACACTGGATATTTCCTTCCCCATAGTTTTTGTAAGTATTCTCACTGTACATGAAACATGACTCATGTATTTCCCTGTCCTGGGTAAATATACAGTATGTCTTAACATCCCATCAGACTCTTTTGTGTTCATGCAAGGAAACAGTGTAGAAAAAATCCAGTAGGAAATTGTTATCAGTTGTGGGGAGGAGGCAAGTAAGTCCACTCTTTTTTTTTGGGGTGAACTTACCCTCCCAGAGGAGAACTGACTGAGAACAGGGAAATTGCAGTATACATACCACATCAAACAGACTGTTATCTTTCCATGTTAATCAAAGACTACAAACTTGAGACATTCAGGGAATTCCCTTTTATGATCAACTGAAATACAAGTTCCATCACTTCTGCTACCTTACACACAGAAGCAGTTGGAAACATTCACAGTAAAGTTTCCAATACCCAAGTCTTAATCTACTGTTTCTGAATTCTCCCTCATGATGTATGTGATTGATTTCCTTTGCTTTAAAGGCATTTGGTAAATGCAGCACCCTGGGATATTCTGCACAGATTCAGCCGAGCATGGATGGGAAGAAGGCATCAGGAAGCCTGGCAGAGGTAAGTGAGCACATTTGCTGGAAGTGTGTGTTTGTAGCCATTGGATCTATTTATTTTGCTCCAGGACAAGTAGTATCATTGTATAGATCATCTGTAACTGGACTCTCAACAAGTGCTAATGTATTGCTATCTATAAATATACTCCAAAAAGCTGTTTGAGATGTTTTATTTTATTTTTTAAATACAGACAATGGAAGAAAAACGCTGTATAAAACCACCCCTAATGGTAATTGTTGCACATGACTTTACTTTTGTATACATTTGAAATTTATGACTGGGGAAACAATGCAGCTTATTTCACACATTACAGTTATAGCACCTATTCCACGTTTAGTGAAGTCAGATTAAACTGGCTCGAATCCAGATACTGGATTTCTTGTAGCATGGCAGTATTCTATTTTAAGTAAATAATAACGACAACAAAAAAGTAAAAGGAGTGTAATTCCTGTATAAGGATCAGTCAATCAATTGATCCAATCTTTATTGTGTGGTCACAGACCTGACAAAACTCATAAAAACATTTAAAAATGATTAAGAACAGCTAAATAAATTACATGAGCATGACTTAAAAACAGAAAAGTATTATAAAACAGAAGCAAGAATTACAAATGAAAAGACACAAAATTGCAAATGAGCTTTTTAGTTCTTTAGAACTGTAATTTAGAGTGGATGGCTTTTCTATCAGACTATTCTGTAATTATTCACATTTCTCACCACTATTATGCATTTGACTGAACAATTTTTACTCCCCTCAGATAAGTTCAGTTTTTTAAAAGTGTCATAGAATGGTATGTATGTATGGTATATGTGATGATGTGGTAGCATCATATATATATATATATATATATATATAGTATGAATTTTCTGTGAATATGTGCATTGGTATATATGTATGATTAATATTTACTGCCCTAAGCTTTTGGAACATGAAGACAATTTAAATGAAAAATAAATCAATATAATATATTACAGTTTCTGGAAAGTATTTTACCTAGTGATGATATTTAAAAAGAATAATAATATAAGTACAATAACTCACTGGTTTTAGTTCCATGTAACATATTAGCTGTATTAAGGCACACTGGCTGCATTTATGGGAATGGATCATAGCAGTCTCTGGCCTGCATGCTACCCCACCCCATCTGGTACAGCAGGGAGGAAGCATTTGGAACTGTTCACTTCCAATTAGATTAAGTGCAGCTTGTTGTCTGAATGTAGGCAAGCCTTGCCTTATCTTATCTATGGCTTTGTGTCATGTGTGTAGAGTGTATGCATTTTCCACTTGTATGAGAATGCATGGGCTACTGCTTCAATAGCTAGATAATTCACGGTTGCCAAATTCTTTCTTTCTTGCTTCTTTTCAAGAAATGAAAGGCTTGATTACAATCATTGTGTTAATATAAGGTACAGATTTTATGCCCCATTGGAAAGTTGGTACAGTATTTCTTACAAAACAGGGCTGTGCAAAGGATTATCATTTTTGAAAAATTATTCTTTTTCTACTTTACATTTGATGAGTACCTGATGCTTAAGTAGATAGTTCATTTTTCCCCATTTCAGACAGTTTTTGCATATTTAGTTGCAAACAGTAGGTTAGTAATTTCTCTTTCTTACATCATTTCTTTCAGCTTAAATTGATTTGTGCTTCACTGAATTAAAATTTCTTTTTGTTGCAGGCAAAGAAGATACCAACAGAAATGCTTGAACAACAGATTATATCATTGGAAAAGCAGAGGGAAGAGGTACTTTTAAGCATGTTTTGGATTCTCAAGCTGCTAGACAGTATAGCTGACTCGCCATTCCTGGCTAAAAAGTGATTGAATTCCTCCTGTGTAAGGCAAATGGTTTGCCTGTGTGGAAGGTATTTTAAATGGGAAACAACTGCTCAGCACATGCAAACATTATTTTGTTGTTGCTGCTACCCAACTCTGACCACACAAGCAAGCCAGTTAATTGATTGTAGCCACTGTGGATTCAGGGAAAGTGGCATGTAGCCCAGAGGTATGCTCCAGGATAGCTTGCAATGGCATTTAGAGTGTGGACTTGGAGACCCAACTGATCTGTGTTCTAGGAACCACCTGGCCATGAGGCTCACTGAGTGATTCTGGGCCAGTCATTCACTGAACCTATCTTACTACACTGATATTGCTAGGATAAAATGGAGTGTAGGAGGACTATGTGTTGCCTTAGTTTCCTCACAGGGGGAGAAAAGGGTGGGCTATAAATGTAATAACTGAAGGAACCAATGTCAGATCCCATGCAACCATGTGTAATGTGAGAGTGGAGTCCTTTCTGGAAATTTCTGTGGTATTGCAAAAGTTTTAGGAAGGTATCTATCTGATTGTAGTACTTCCAATAGCCAAATGTTTTAGGTTAGGTTTTCTTGGTCAGGGTAATGTCTTCTCTGTGCCATTGACAGGGGAGACCTGTGAGCCTTGGATGACATCAAAGGAGCCCTGGGCTGTGACAGATTTTTCCAGAAAGCACATTGTACCAGTTAATGCTATTGAGGTTGTGCCAGGGATTGCATATGTTAGCTCAAAATAATTTACATTAGCACTAATGTCAGCATGGATACTGCCCAAGCATTTTCTCACAGTTCAGAGCAGTTTCATCCACTGGATCTTCTCCATACTTGGTGGGAAATGCCACATATGAAGATGGAGAGTATTATGCATACAGCTAGAGTAGGTTTGGAATGGATTGTTTGGATTTTTTTTTTTTTTTACTTTTTGAATTGCTGCCAGAAAAGCACAGACCACTGCTGAATCATTTAGCCTCAGCTGGGATTTTAGGCATACACCTTAGATAAATAGCTGGGCTCTTTCTCCCTCAACCTCTTTTTTTCCCTTTCCAGCATATCAAGACAGGAGGTTTCTAACTACAGTCTTTTATTACATTAAAGCTGACTTTGTGATAAAGGAGGGCAAGGCAAATGTCCTTAGAAATAATAATTCATCGAGTTAATTAGCCTGCTAACTGTGGAATGAGCTCTGGCCATGCTAGTTGAGTCCAAACTAATTTCCTCTTCTCCCTTCCCCACCAAACAGAGTTAGCTGCATCCTCAAGGAAGTTTCTGTAGCATGTCCACCAGCTGGAGGAAATGCTGGGCATTAGTTAGCCTGCTTGATCTGACAGCAGACAACTGGACTGATCAACTTACACTCCTCCTCCATGAACCTCCCTGTACTACAGTGCCTTTCCCCAACCAGAGATGTTATGATTCTCACCAGCCACTTGGCTGATCTCAAAGCTTACTGGCCTTGGAAACCATTCTGACCTTGCCTCTTCCAGTTCAGATTCAGAGTTGGTGGCATCCACCTTAGAATGCTGTATTTTGGGAAAAGCCGGCCCAGTCCCTACAGCTTTTGTGCTAGAAGCTGCCTGACAGGAGCCATCCTGAAACTGCTGAGCTTATTTGTGAAGCCTGTCTTAGATTCCTTGTCTGTTTCTGTCTTGAATTGCATTAGTTTTTAACCCTGGTTGGATCTGCTTTAGATTTATGGGTTCAGTCTTTACACATCTTCTAAAGAAGCTTTAGAGGACACATTAGAGGTGGTTTGGGCTGAAGGCAAAAGTTTAAAGAGCTCCAAATTATCCAGACATCCAGTACCAGTATATTTTGGCTTAATACTTTATTGGCAAGTAATGAAGCCTTAGTTACTTACAGAAAACCACCCAATTATTGGTGGTTGGGAGACAAGAGTGAGGCTAGGGACAAGGCTTGGTCCTGCAGGGACCTTAGAGCTGGATTGGAACACAGGCGTTCAATTCAGCATCTCAGCTGTGGGCAATGCCAAAATCCAGATACCACATGCACTACTTGTTTTTCAGGTGCCATTCAAAATCTTTTTTTGGTTTTCTAATCAGAATAACCTCACGGATGAGGATTGAGTCTTGTGTTACTTGGTGACTTATGAATCTTACTGTTTCTGTTTTGGGGTTATAGTATCCTGACTCTTTGGGGCATGAGTTTATTCCATGCATATGCCAGGTTTTGTGTGTTCAGGGAGCTTTTCTAGACAAGCTTTTATTGTCCACTTTTTGTTCATCATTCACAGTTCTTTGTGTGTACCAGACAATGACATCATCCTCTAGTGCCTCTCCTGTCCTATTAAAGCATTTCTTCCAGAGTTTTTTGTTCAGGGAAAGTCTGGCACCTTTAAGAATTGTGAGATGAAAAGATGGCATACCTTTTCATTCTGTTATTCCACAGTGCCCACTAGAGGTTATGCAGCAGAAAATAAAGGCAAAGGAATTTATTTAAAGAAAAATAAAGCCCTGTATATACAGATCCAATCTTGATCATAGAAAGAATGTGGAAGCAGAAACTGTGGTAAAGTTGTCGGTTAAAACCCTAGTCTAGAAAATCTCAACAGGTTAGGCAGTTACTCTGAGAACATATTTGAATTTGAAGCAGACTTGTTCTCAGCCACCTTAGGAACTCGCACAGGGAGTTTTGGGTTTAGATTTGTCTGAGGAATTAATCCTGAATTATCTGCCATTCTCTCACTTTTGCCTTGTTCTAGTATTCCTGGGTTTTATGTTCTGCATTGTAAAGTATTCTTTCAGCTTTTCTGTATAGTAATACAAAACAGTCATAAATAGTATAACATAAATTCCTAAATGGCCTGGGACCTTCATACTTCAAATATTTTTGCAATATGTTTTGTGCATTTCAACAAATCGAAATGGCAGTATCTTCTATGGGTGATGCAAAGCCTCTTTTCTAGAAGAGAATTTGATGGCCGTGAACAAGCAATAGGCAATTCTAATAATAGGAATTATTTTAATATAATTTAAAATGTAAATGTTTGCTATTTTAAAATGATTCCTGTTCTGAGCATTAGGAAATAGTATAGCTGAAACCTCTAAAACAATATGGTAGCACAGTGATTAAAATATTTTATTAATAACCAAGAATATTAATTATTTCAGCTTTTGGCAGTGAACAATCAATGGGATCAACAGTTCAGGCGGATGAAAGAGCAGTATGAAAAAAAGGTAAAAACCCAAAAATGCACCTATGGCTAGTCCAATAGAGCACAACCATTTTATTTAACTATTTTGCTTCCTTTTAAGAGAAGGAAAACAGTATAGAACAGAAAAATATACACAAAAATTTAAAAAGAGAAGCATATAGTGCTAAATAAACAATTAAAAGCACACTCCATAGTCTGTTGAGGTGAGGATCACCATTGTCATGGGGAACAAGCAAATTCTGGCTCCCTGAAAGGGTATAGGGATGAATTGGCAGTGCCCACGGTTTTCCTTCTCCATCCCACTTTCTTACTTGCTGTGGTGGTGGCAATCTTCTATCAACAGTCATTTTCTTTTCCCCAGTTTACCTGGATGAAGTATATTTTTGTACAAAGATGTATGGAGTTGATTAAATCCATTCCCTATGCATTGTGCATATTGTCAGGCACCTTTCATTCCATCTCTGCTCACTGAAGAATTCTGTGAAAATGCATTTGCTTGAATCTGCATTTGTGCAAATTCACATTTCTGAAAAAGTCTGCATCCTCTCAAATGCATATTTGTTCACTGTAGCCTATAAAGAAAAACAGATTTACAGTCTGTGATTTTATTCTTTAAAAAATATTTTTACAATTAAATTTGCAAAAAATTATGGAAGGGTAAAAAAAATGTTCGTGTGTATGACTGCAAATTCATGTGACTGGAGAAAATGGTGATGGTCACAATGACAGGCATCATGTGGATCCAGAGGAACAAAAATGGCAGCAGGGCTACAGACAGAAGCAAGACTGGTCTTGCTGCTGCCATTTTAGGAGAGTGCCCAAAACAGACAAACAATAAAAAGGAAAAAAGGAAGGCCTTGCTAATGGTATGCAGCCCCCTCCATTTGTTATCCTGTCCAAATTTAAAGAAATGCACCTAATTTCATTATTTGGGAATGGTGATGCAAATTTGGTAGTGGGGAAGAAATTGTCTCCAATCTCTTGTTGAAGGTTGAAGTAATGTTGAAAACTACTGCATTTGAACACGTCAAACAGATCTTAATATAGCCAGTATTCAAAACATTCGGCATATATCTCAGGAATCCTCAGAACAACTCTATAAGATCTGTCAGTGTATTGTTAGGGTGGAGGTGGAGTGGAAAATGAGAAGCAGTGGCTTATTTAAGTCAGCCTGTGAGTTTCGTGACTTGAGATGAGATTTGAATAAGGGACTTTCCCTTACAGGGCACAATTAACTACTACACAATCACTTCATAGGTTTGTCATTCTCCACGAGGCAGCTCCTGCCACCTTGTTCTGTACTAAAATGTATTCAGTACATTTACTGGTGTTCCCTGCATTAGTCCATGAGCCACAATGCTAGCTAACTGCGGTGAACCGATGGTAGGTTCTTTTTTTAGAAAGGAAAAACTTATTACATTGTGTCACTTTGCAGGTCACTGAAGTGAAAGCAAAACTGGAATCGATGCAGAAGATTGTCAGGACACTCAACAGAGAAAAGCTCCAAATGCAACAAGAGTGCCAAAGGCTGGGAGCCCTGACTACAGACAGGCTAGCAGAGGAAATGGTAAGCAAAGTCCATTGTTTCACTGTGTCCGTGTGTGTGTTTGGAGGGCAGAACCAAATAGGTAGAACCTTTGTATGCATATGTCAGAACTTCCAAGTAAACAAACAAAAACTGTATTGTTAAACAAGGGGAAAAGTTAAACAAGAAAAAGTAGGCATATGTTTTATAAACAGAAAATGGACATGCCAGAATTCTGAAAGGTAGAGATGGAAAAATGAGGCAAAGATTATAACTTATTTGCTTGGAGATTAGTGGGGTGCACACACAGATGTTTGTAGGTTCAATTCCTGGTGTCTCTATTTAGCACATGATGGGAAGGACCACTGCCTCTGACCCTGGACATTTATCCCCATGCATAGTAAAGAATACTAGGGTGGTTGGACAAAGAGTGTGACCATCTACAAAGTTGTTTCTACTGTTCCAGTTTTCAGGACATAATTCTATGCATGCAGGAAGATGCTGGAAGTTGTAGACCTTTTTTCTGTTAAACATACATAGGATTGTACCTTGAAGAATCCATTATTTTCTCTCTGTTTTCTATTAGGCTTTTTCTTTCTTTGGAAGAGGGCAAAAGTAGCCTTAACTGTCTTGGCATCTGACACACTTCATATAAGGCAGATATGGGTGAAGCTTTTGATTCCATACTTTTATTATTAGTCTACAATAAGCTATCTCAGGAATCACATTCTAAGCCAATCAAAATTATCCCCTTTCAAGTTGGACAAGACTTAGGCCCATCATTGAGGCAGTAAACCTGGGCTATTTCAGTTTCCAGGTGGGTCTTACTTGGCTGAATCCTTCTTTCTGCTAAATTACCCTAACACAAATAGTTAGCAAGTTTGTGTAATTGTGTAAATCATCCAAATATCTTTGGCTGTGGGGTGGCATAGAAATGAGATGCTGCTGCTGCTGATGATGATGATAGCAGCAAGTCAAGGACAAGACTAGGCTGAAACTCTTGATAGCTAGTTTGCTATACTGGCAGGAATTCCATCCATCCATCCATCCATCCATCCATCCATCCATCCATCCATCTGAATGGAGGGACACTTGTTCATGTAGGCATTTGCCTTTCTTTCCATTCTGTGGGTCAATAGTCTGTAAGTAGGATACAGACATTTACACCTTCCTGCTTCCTGGAATGGGGAGGTTCCACATGTGGAATTTCCCTCATATCCCAGAAGATCTTTAGGTCTCCCTTTTATGCCATATATATTAATAGTTCTCTAAATTAGCAATGCTTATGAAGTCAGAAATGGTACCATCCACACAACAGAGGAAGGCTTGAGGGGAAACTCAAGATTTGCAGATGTATCCCCCAAAAGAAACAGAAACAGAAAAGGAAAAGGAAAAGAATCTGCAAGCACTTTAGATTAAAATTATTACAACCCATGGAGGATGGAACTTCCCCTTCAAAAAACCCAGTGATGACTGGACATGTTCAGTAGGCGCAGGGGAATGACTGTGCATGAATGGGTGGCATGGGGAATAGAAAACAGGGGAAGAGAGGATGGAAGGAACTATGTGAAATCCTTAATAGATGTACCCGATATTGCATGCCCTTTTTAATGCTATCTGTCTCAAAAGTCAGGGATATAGCAAGCTAAAAATAAAATCCAATAAAATGGTAGTCTGTGATTTCCCACAAGATGTCATTGTTTTGGCTGGGGATTGTGGGACCACTCTAGCACAGCAGCCGTGACCTCCATCTCCCCTTTGAAAGGCACCTCTTCCAACAATGAGGATTTCAGGGTGGTATTTATAGATGTGAGGGGCTGAGCTCTATATCTCCTCAGCTACCTTGTGCAGTTTTATGGCCTGGATGTGCCTCAGGAGAGCCCAAAATGTAGTCAATAGAATTTCATCAGACTTTAGAGTATCTGGGATGAACTATCCATCAGTTTTGCTGCCGTTTTCTCTTTGACAGGTCTGGCACACTTACTTGGGATAATAATAATAAAAAATACAGCACATCATATCAAGAAAAAATGCAACCATCTGCACTTTATCAATATACCTATGTGGTTTTTACATTCCAGAGAGACAAAAACACCCTAGAGGAAGAGAATAGACTTCTGAAAGAAAAGAACATTTTAGCAAACAGAAAGAAGATGCATTATGAATGTGAAATAACTCGGCTCAACAAGGTGTGTATTATCCTTTTAGGAGTATTTTTATGCTTTCCCTTACAAAATCTTACTCAGTGTTTGTATTCATCTGGCAATGGCTGCATTTGCCTGCCACACTAAGCCACATTTAGGATAAAATATGCAGTATGCATTGTTTGTGGAACAATGCAAGGTGCAGTCAACAGATTATTGGGTTCACCAAGGCTCTTTCCTTCTTCCTTCCCTTTTGACCCTCCAGCTAGTCTCTCAGGATCCTGTAAAACAGAACTTGTCATGTCTTCCCTTTCCTGTCCCTCTTCTGAGATAGCTGAAGACTCATGGAAATGCTGAAATAGTTGAAAAGTTTAGGACTTTAAAACCAAAGGATTACATTGCTAAGTGGGATATCTTGTCATTCCCACTTTGAGTGAACCTTCTGTTTTGGCGTTTCCCCTTGTACCAGCACTTTTCAACTGACGTCTAGAGAATCGGTCCTCAGCAACTCTGTGCACATTTAGCTGTGTGCAGTTTCACCTTGTCAATCTGTTACCTGCTGTGCTTCACCACTCCCTTGGTCAGCTGAACCCAACAAGGAAGTTGGCCAGGCAAAAGTTCTCATATTGAACAATTCTGTGATTCTGTGCAGTTGTGAAAGACACACCACCAGGAAAGAATAATGACAAGAATATTAATGACAATACAGTTATGGGTTCATAAAAAAAGCAGCAGCAGCAGCAACAAATAAAAGCTAGTGAACCAGTAATGCTTTATTTTAAAGTGTTACTTCGGCATTGATTGTTCTATTTGCCTGGCAGTCAAGCCAGTCCTTCCTGTTGCCTTGCCAGCCGTTCCATTTAAACAACTCAGTGCTCCCACAACTTATAGCCTGTTATGTTTCTGAAGATCCTTTTGCATTATAGGAGCCCAGGCATTTCTTTACGGAAAAGGATCTCTGGCAATCCTAGCTTTTCTATCAGCTCTTCAGAGAAATGCTCTTTTCAATCATTGTTTATGTGGCAGGATGCTATGTTCTATTGCCAATTTTCTAAGTATCTCAAGTGCATGTGCCTTCTAGTTTGCAATATATGTAGTAGAAAAGCACTGTTTCAGCTGCATTGTAACTATTAGTGCTGTCAGGTCCATTACATGGTTGTATCAATATTGATGCAGCACTTTGTGATTGTACAGAAGAAATTCTAAGGAAACAGCATATTCAGTAAGGGTCCCGGTCAGCAATCACTATGATTTTAGCAGCACTTTCGGCAACTGCCTTGATAGAGGAAGTCCTTGCAATTCTCTGTCCCTGCTGCATAGCTTTTATTTCAACTCGTGGCAGTTCTACAGAGAAAACATGTACATCAATGGCATGTCCCAGTGCAATTGATGGGACATTTCTCCCATGCCACAAAAGAAGCTTTGCAAGTTTATTGGAGAAACATATTCAGTCTTCTGTTGCCTTTGTTAAATCCCCTTACAGTGCACTCCTGTGCACATCTAACCAGAAAAAAGCCCTGGTGAGTTCAGTGGGACTTATTCCTAATGGCATTTGCTTAGTTCCTAATGTTTCATTTACAAATTTTCAACTTCACACTTTCTGTTTTACTATCTCCATATGTTATAATGTCTATCTTATGCTGAAGGTTGTGAGATAATTTTATATGGTGTCCCCCGCCTCTCATTTTCTCTTTCCCTACCCTGCTTTCCCCCTGTCACTTCTTCTCAGTCTCTCTCATATACAAGAGAAAGAGCATGGTGTATTTTCAACTTGAATGTGCAGGAGAGTATGGCCTTGATCCAAACCTTGACATTCAAATCGGCCAATACAGACTCTCAGAACACCACCAATCAACTGTTTGGAGAGGGGAAAGCAAGGATATATCCTCCTTCCCTTCTCCCAAGAATCTAATAGGCAGTATTTAGAGTTGGTGGGGGGAACCTTTGAGGCACAGGCCTAGGAAGCTTTGTCATCTGTTTAGTAAGGAATTCACTGCTAGGCATACACTATTCCTTTCATCCTGGGTAGGGTAGGGCTTGGCTGGGGTGTTGCGAGGAATATTTCTGGGCTGTCTGCCTCCTCTGTCCCATTTATGAGCTTTGGTCACTTCCAGAGCATTCCTTGGCTATTTTTTCCCTCAGCTCCCCCCCTATTCCTCATCAGCAGACCTCACCTAAAGAATGAAGGGGACCCAATCTTCATCCCTATTTTGGTGTATTGCCAAATATGAGCCTTCCCATCCAGCAACCCACAATGGAGATGGAAATGTCTGCCTTTAGCTGATCTTCAGGACTCCAGTGAGGGGCCCTGAGAAACAGTATCTTCTCCCCAGCTGATCTGTAAGGCTCTGCTCAGGAGGGTGGGACAAGTAATAATGTGTTTGTGTGTCTGTGGGAATGGGGTGGCCGTTCCCACTTTGGCCTCTGGCCATGTTCACTGGTGGCATGACTCCGCCACCTCAAGAGGTTTACCAGGGAGCAAGCCAGCCCCAGCTGGTTCTTGGCACAGAGCAGGAGTAATTGTGCAAGCAGCAGCTGTTTCTGTATGCAAATCATCATCCAGCTGGGTCCAAGTTGGATACTGCAGATGTGATGTGTGCTTCTTAAATGTTGCAAAAGAAGAATAAAAAGCTGACACTGGAGACCCATAAACATATTTCCATGAAGAGAGGCTGCATAAAGCTGTGTGTGCATGTGTGTTTTAAATGATGTCCCTTGGTAAACCACAAACACTTCCTGAGGAAACACATTTCTTTGAAAAATTGCTCTACCTAGCTTTATGCTAGGAGACAAGGCACACAGCTTTAAGCAGGAAAAATATGTCACTGCTAGTGAAATAAAACATGAATTTGGTTTAGTTGAATGTAGAAACTAAGAAAGTAAACTTTAAAAATGCATTATGTAAATACAGGACATTCACAAAGTGTTATTCTAATTTATATCCTTGAGATTTTTAATTTATTAGTATATTTATATCTCACTTTCCCCCCTTAATGGTGACTAACATAATCCTTGTCCTCTCAATCTTATCCTCACAAGGTTGTTATTAAGGTTAAGCTGAGATTCAGTTACTGGCCCAAAGTCAGCCAATGTGGTTTGTGTCCAAGTGGGGACTAGAACCCAGTTTTCATCTAACTATGTTAAATCCAAACATAGATACATTGAGTTTAGTCTAAGCTATGGTCTACTAAAAGAAGTCAAATTCAAATGGTGGATTATGTATCTGTATTGTCTCAATGCACCATTGTTAAGATTAACCACAATTTAACGAATGGACATAATATTAAACTGTGGTTAAGTTAAAACAGAAGTGAAAACCTCCGAACGCCTCACTGTGGTTGCACTGGAGAGTTTGTACACAAGCTCAAGGTTTTTGCATGCAGTGTTGAAACATGCACCTCCGTATGGACATGTAGTTGGTAGGGTAAGTCAACTATTTTATTAATACTCTCATTCCATATGTGTCCACTCAAAGCTATTTCCCAGTGGATTATACTCTTAAGTATGCATAGCAGCCTTCCCAGCACTGAGGTCTGGATGCATCTAAGCCTCTGAGTTTGTAGGCTTGCATATGTAGACTGTAAGGAGCCTTAGAATGAACCCCAGGAATACTGATTAGCTTATCTAGTATCTTAATGATAACTTATTTCTTAACATGCACAAATGATGTGCAAGCAACATGTATGTAAGCGCTATCATGATTTTTCTTATGGTTTCTATTAAGAATAGCACTGTGTTTGTTAGCTACAATAAATGAATAAAATGGTATATATAGGCACTGAGCTATGCTGATTTTTCTTGGTTTAGCGTAGAATTCTTTATAGCATATGAGTGTAGTTTATTTATTATAGTGCATTACAAAAACAAAGTTCTTAAAGATAAAAGGATAAAGTTATATACTTACACTTAGGAATATAAAACATACACACACGTATGTAATCAGTGTTATGCATTTAAAAAAATTGTAATGTTTTAGTTTCCTTTTGACTGTAGTTTGACGAGTAACTTTAATGAACTCCCAGTTCAAGTATTCTGACAAAACAAGTCTTATATGGACTTCTGCAGGGCCTGAAGAATATGTATTTCTATAAAATCAGTTTAGAGTCTTCTGTGACTTCTGTGTCACATTCTTTCCCCCATTTCCTGCTGTTATGAAAATGTAACAACTTGCTTTTAGCAAGTGAAATCTAAACTTGCTTCAGCTTTGCAACTTTGGAATTTTTGAAACCATTTTATATTGGATTATTTATGGATGGAAGAACTCATGGCAACTGTGGCAAACAATAGGATCTTGATGTTTATACATTTGTTTCTGTTTTGATATGCCTGGCTTTAGGAATATAAAACATAACTATGTTTGGATATTCCAGGTTTCTGTTGGGGGCATCTAAGAGTGCAGTATTCCCAATGCTGGATGAGGAATACTGGGAGTTGTAGGACTTCTCTTTCTGTCTAAACATACATGGGATTGCGCCCTAAATGATATTTATGAGTGTAAACTCAGCAAACAGTAACATTGAACAGCACTTACCATCTTTCTGCATATCTACACTGTAAATGTGGATTTACACACACACACACACACAGAGAGAGAGAGAGAGAGAGAGAGAGAGAGAGAAATCATCTTGGGTCATCTTGGCAGTTCAACACTTTATGCAAAAAGTATGTATTCCCTTTGCTCTGAGTTAGTTTAGTTGCACACAGTAGACATTTATGTAATTACAACATAAAGAATCTTGACATTATAGGACATCAGATTTGGTGAGTAGTTAGGTTTAGGATTCATTTCACAGTTATCACCCCCACATAGTTAGACTGCATAAAAGCTGGAAATGCAATACTAAAAAAAGAATATTTTAAAGAATAGTGAGGCTATGCTTGTCTGCCTTTTTAAAAAAGTCTCCCTTTAAACTGAGAAGCTAAACACAATTATGAGGGAGTAAACTCCACTGAACACAGCAGAACTTACATCTGAGTAAACATGAATGAGATCACACTGTAAGTTAACTCGTGTTTCCATCTACCTTGACATTGTTCTGTGTAGTTGTACAGAGCCCAGTGGTGGATTGATTTATCAACTGGGATATTAATCTGATACCATCATAAAAATGGAATAGAACAGAAGTTATTTGATTTCTTCCTAAAATCATACACAAGGTTCCTAAAACCATTCACAAATAGTAGCAGCTCTTCTGGCCTCTTCTTAACAAATATGGTAATAAGACAGTTGGGAGAGCTCAGATTTAGAACATAAGTTTTGCATGCTGAAAGTCCCAGGTTTGAACCCCAGCACTTCTTGGTAGTGCAGGAAAAATTCCTGTTAAAATCCAGGAGAGGCCCTGCCAGTCAGACAGTATTGTACTGAGTAGATCAATGGTTCAACTCACTAAGGCAGCTTCTTTTGTTACATATTCCTGTGCCAATCAACAGTGAGATCCCTCTGCTGGAAGGATCCCAATCCATTCTTGCTTGTGAAGGGCAAAGCACTACTTTACACAATATCTTACTCGTCGCTGTAACACCATGCTTTCTTTCAAGGTTCTTCATACCCCAGGTAGGGGGAAACAGTACCTTTTATAAGGGAAATGCCCAAACTTTTTCTAATATTACAGTAATACTGATGCTGATACTTTCAGGGGATTATTTTGATGTGGTGCATGCAAAGCATACTTATTTCTTTTTCTTTTTTGGCTATAGGCTCTTATGGATGCCTTGCAAAATCAAAGTTTATCCTCACAGGAGCCTCATGTGGATGTGCTGGACAGGAATTACAGCAAAGAGGAGATGAGGACTCAGTTGGAAGTTCTTAGACAACAGGTATGAATGGATTGAATAGAAGTCTGCATATTCACTTAGTAATTAAATTGACCCTAAAGATAAAATTTAAGATTTAACAAGCTTTTAATAGGAACATGTTATTACAGGTTCTTTTATGTATGTGGTCAAAGTCTATCATGAGCACAGAAGCACAGTAAATGAAATTTGACAATTTCAGTAGAAAATCTCATTTTCAGGTGTGCTAATACTGTTTCTAGTAAAATGTAAGCACAAACTCATACATTTAATTCTTATATATTTTTTCCAACTAGTCAACCTAAAATTGCCATTTGTTTTCATACTACTATTACTTTAGTCCTCTTACTCAGTGCACCTATGAGATACCACTGTTAGGAATTAGTTATCTAGAAGCTGTATGTCATTTTTGTGGGATGGTTCCTCATGATTCTTGTTCTAAGAATATGGGTTTTACACTGTTCAGTATCCTAAGTGCACACATAAATTAATATAACCCCAAACTGTCTCCAAGAAGCTCTATTATCTGCGGAATGGAAGATTGATTTAATCTTTGTTGCAGTTCTAAACCTCAGGAAAAGATGTATTTTCCCCCTTGGGTTTATTTTTTTGTAAGAACCCATGCGTTTAAAATTATGTTACTTTCCAGTTAACCTTAAATTTAAACCCTGTCACTCTGTGCACTGTTAAGAATCAGTTGTTGAAATACAAATGTGTATGAGAGGAAGACCCATGGACTAAAATACTTGTTTCTGTCACGTTTGAAAGGCTGAGCCAGATTTTACTCAGTTGTAATGCATGCCACATGCGGAAGGGGAAAACCTTGAATTTGATTGTGAAGTAATGGATTGTACACACAATAAAACAGAATTTATCATTCCTTCTCCCTTTCCTGAATTCTTCTGAGGGCACTTAAATCTATGGATTTTTTTAAAAAACGTGTCTCCAATTTTATGCATCCATAGAGACATAGTGGAATTCACACTGTGTATTGGAGAACAGAAATGTCCAGTTCCTTCTTAAGGTATACTTATACAGTGATTTCTCTGATTATCTAGACCATCTTTGTAATAATGCCAAAGAGTGTGAGGGTGAAATAGTAAGGGGAATTAGAAACAGGGCAGTGGACAATCTTTTTGTTCATTTTCCTCTCCAGTGACCTTCGCCTGTTTGTGTAAAGTGGGCAGGGAATTAAATCCATACATAGAAGTGGTCATGATCATTCTCCAAAAGTTAAGGTAAATGAAAAGCTAGCCACAAATATGAATGGCTTAATTCTTCCTCAAATACATATGAACGTTCAGGTCTAAACCTCATTTAAAAATACTCAGGGTGGAAAAATAGCTCCTGTTGAAGGGTATTCCTGAATGTCTTTCCATTATTTTTCATTTTCATTTCAATTTTTATTTCTAACCTGCCCCATAGTCCATTAGAGTTCTCTGGGTGGTATACAAATGCATGATAAAACAGTATATTAAAAATCCAAATTACACAATACAAAGAATCAGAAAGAAAAAACATCTATGCAAATATATAGCAATATATCAAATAATAATATCAAAACAGAAAACAATATCAAATATTTAATGTCAACAATATCAAAGTAAACAATGTCAAAAATTATAATACAACAATATGTCAAAGAATAATATCAAAAATTAAACAATATCAACAATATCAAAGTAAAATGATACAATTAAAAAACAATAAAATAACAATAAGAAACGCACAATAAACCCTGTGGAGGGGGACCAATGCCCAAATTATCCCCAAACCAACACCAAAATTGGCCCATGCCCAAGACCACTGCTGCAGTCCCCAGAAATATTATCTCAGCACACGACATTCTCACCTCCAAGCTGGCCCAAGATGGAATGTGTTATCTGTGCCACAATATTTCTTTTACATTCTAGGGGTCCTACTGAAAAAAATAACTTCTAATCAAATGTGTTAGAATACCCCTTTAAAGTTGCCATCAGCAATGCCTACTGACTTTTGTATTTTCCATGGGTGCAGAAATATAGAATTTTCTGGAAATATAGAAGTAAACTGTGCAATGTGGAGGTGCAGTTTTAATTTTGCTCCCAGAACTAATGTGAGGAAGCAGTGCCTCAACAGAACAGAACTTTGGCTATATTGGAGCATAATATTTGTTAGTTCTGAGATTTTGAAAATGGCAACTGGAATTCCTGAGAATGTCCGGAATGGCTGCATGACTCATAGGGATAATAACTTGGTGGTGGCTGCAGATGCTAGTACTTTATCACTTAAGTTAATAGCATCTCGTGAGTCATTGCTTATGTTGACTTATAACTCAAGCCTTTCACATGGTCTGCAATTAGCTTAGGAGAAAATGTGTCATCTAAAAGACTGACTCTTTCCAATAATGCTGGAAGCTACAAAGGAAATTTGTCTCTTCCAAAGACAGTTTGCCTTTCCCATGATTGTTCAGAATGTAAAGGTGGTGGTGTGTAGTACATTTTGAAGTGCATTCACTCGTCATGAAAGCCTCCATAGTTATGACCTCAAGGCAGATCCAAAAATGGATGCAGTTGTGTTCACCCATATCAAGGAGTTAGATCTAGAAAATTTTATCTCTACCAAGAGCGGTTCCTTTGTAAAATCCTTTCCTCATTCATGTGCCTTATTTCCCATATCCATTGTTTTGGAAAGGGAGATTCAGTGGGAAAGGGCAGAGTACCTGAATAAATTGAGAAAGCATGAACAAGTACTACGCTAATTGCTTATCAATGGGTTATATGCTATTCAATGGTGACAAATTTTGTAATTTTGCCTGAAATAACCAAAACGGTTTTCACTGGCAAATAATCTTGTTCTTTCTCAATATTAACTAATTAGTTATCTTCCCATTTTGTTCATGAATCTAGCCAAAGCTGCAATCCTATGAATACCTGCCTGACTTAAATTCAGTAAACATGCAGAAGTGTACACTTAAATAGGTCATGAACAGGAAAAAATGTTATCTGAAGGCAGAAACCTCTTTGATTATTCTGGGATTAATGATTATTTCAAGCCCCAATAGGTGAGAAGACAACCATGTTAAATACTTGATCTAAATATTAAAGATGATTTTTTTTGCATGTCTGTTCCACCATAGGAGGTTGGAGAAGGTCATGGGGTAAAAACTGTGAAGCAATCCTCCTATATTGTTGTGAAATTTCCTATGAGACATTTTTTCATATAAACCCACCCTCAAAATAGGTGACTTTGTATGTCTTATTGATTTAATTAATGATTGGAAATGCATCTTCTCTAAAGTATAAGGATTAAATAATTTAATCATAGGTTCAAATATATGAAGAAGACTTTAAAAAGGAAAGATCAGATAGAGAAAGACTTAATGCTGAGAAAGAAGCGCTGCAGAGAATTAATGAGAAATTACAGTCCCAGTTGGACATACTACATTCTCAGGTATGTGTCCAAGTAAAGGTACTAATATTGCCAAAACACGTGCATTTTATTCTTATTCTTATTTTCTCACTTTCCATGCAACTCAAGACTTTCTGGCTTCCGTTAATTGACACAGGGTTGCTTATGAGGTCACCACCTGGGATGAAATCATGCTGAAGTAATGTTGTTGGTGGAATGAAGAATAATTTGACTTTTTCCCACAAATGAAACAAATATAATAACTTGTGACTATCACAGTGGATCTTCAAATATTTCTAAAGAGAATTAAAACTGGATTCCATGTTATTACAAATGAATGAGGCAAAGTAACATTTTTATTAGAAAATAAACATTTCTTATTTTAGCATCTTAACTCTGCAACCCTAAATATGCTTCACTGGAAGTAGCCCCATTGCATACAGTGGGACTTTTGAATAAACATGAAAGGAATTGTGTTGTTAACCAAGTGGATTTACTACACTTTCCTATGTATGTTTATTTAGAAATAAGCTCCACTGTATTGCGTGGGCCTTACTCCTAGGTAAGTAGGTATAGGCTTGCAGTCCCAAGTGGTGTAAGCAACAATCAGCCAGTGGCAGACCTGAATTTGGGAGCTTAAATGAAAACTTTGACCATAGTTTCATTAATAGACTTACAACTTTAAGGATAGGCCTTCTGTAGCCAACCACCTTTTTAGTTCATCCAGAGCAATCTTGCCCAGCGTGATGCTTTTCAGATGTGTTGGACTGCATGAACTATCCTGGCTGGGAATTATGGGGGTTGCAGTCCAATGCATCAGGAAGATACCAGGTTAGAGAAAACTGATCTAGGGACTTCAGTCTGTAAACTGAAATGTGAGAATAACATATGCCTAGTCATGAGTGCAGGGGAAGTTGTTCTGCTGTGATGTTCCAAACAGTTCTTCTCATCAATGTTGTTGAATCTGGAGTACAAGCACTTGCATCAGATGTAACCAACTCATCCAACTGAGTTACCACTAGAGGGCATAAAGGTCCTGATTTCAGTAATAGTACAATTCTTCCCTCTCTGCTTTCCAGTAACTTGCTGATATGCATACATCCTTTCAGAGTGGCATGTTGTGGTCCTTTAAAAGGACCATTGCAGTGAATGGTCTCTGCCATGTGGAGTTGCAAGACATTTTGACATGCATAAAGAAATCCACATGTGATGTGGATGCCAGTAGCACCCTGCCTTAAATTACCCTTAAAGGTGACTTAAAAACTATTTTAATAAAATAAATGTACAACTAAAATGTACATGCAGTAAATGAAGCCTTACAAGAACAAAACATGTCCATCTTTTGAATAGGCATAAAAGTTATCTCTGTGTTGTCATTCTAGAAATGGAAGCATACAGAAGACATTACTCTTCCCTCATATTTGCATGTGTTTGTGAATCGCTGCAAAGCATGAGTTCTGGAGGCTGCTTCATTAGGCTGACTTTCTCCCCCCTCACTTGACACTTATAGGTTAAAGACTGCCAGGAAAAAAAGGAACTGCTTGAGACACAAGTAAAGCAACAGGTATGCGTTTTACTTTACTATTTTTTTGTTCTTGCTCAAGTTAAAACTAATTCAGATTTTACTCTCTAGTCATTACAACCCAGTTTAATTCATTCTGCTTTTTTACTTATATCTTTAATCCTGTAAGGAACCCAAGGAGGCTTACATAACCCACCTGGTCCTCTCCATTTTGTCCTCACAACTCTGTGAGATAGGTTAGGTTGATAGTTAATGGCTAGTGCAAAGTTACCCAGCAAGCTTCCTGGCCCAGTGGAGACAAGAATCCCTGAAGCCCCAGTCTGCTGTAATCATTGTAATCGCTATGCCACACAGACTCTCCGCTGTCAATCAAGCATATTGGCTACATATTTCCAAGCTTGGTTACGATATTCTATGCTGTTCCACATGTTCTCATTTACACAATAAAAATACACTTATTTATTTATTTAAACCATTTCTGTACCATGCCTATAGCCAGTTGACTCTCTGGATAGTTTACAAACATTGGAAATATAACAAAATCCAAGATCACAATAAGATTAAATCAAGAACAATTTCACAAGCATAATCAATAAAAACAATAACAGTAAATAACAGGATATAAAACCAATAATTGTGTGTGTGTGTGTGTGTGTGTGTGTGTGTAAAATTAAATAATTAATTCACCAGGCCACAGTAAAACAAGGTATAATAGAAAATTTCAAGAATTAAAAAAACTGAGAAAAGAGAAAGGTTTGGAGCATTGGCACCAGGCGTATCTCTCTGGGAAGTTGGTTCCACAGTATGAAACTGCACATAGAGAAAATGATAAAATCAAACAGAGGTCTTAAATTTGTAAAAGCCCAAACTACAGAGTGCATGAAAGCCCCAGAAGGCCTCCAAAATAAGAATGAGAAAATAAAAAGTCTTCAGCTGGCATGGAAAAGGATGCAGTGTAATGAAATGGTGGCTACCTGCCACTAACTGGCCAACTGCCACAAGCACTACCATGCCAGTGAGAAGTTCTTTCTCCAGTGGACTGCCCCCCGCCCCCAAATCTGTCATTTTCAATTCTGTAAATGGAGAGTTGCAGGCCAGTGAGGAGATGGCATCAAGAGCTGCAACTGTGCCAGCAACAGGACTGGGTCTTGGTGCAATTGCACCAGGAAGAGAAGGAAGCAAGGAAGAAAGAGAAAATGGCTGCTATGTGACCAATGCCTGGTCAGGCTAACAAATTCAGAGTTAAGGCTAAGTTAGGTTTTCAGTTGCCAAAGGAGAGGGTTCAGTGCTTCAGAGTGGCCCATTTCATATGAAACAGGGATTTGGGGTTGTTTATATCTAATTTTGTTTTTATTCCAATTTTTTTGTGTAGGCTCAAGCACTTACAGAGAAACAGGGCTTCCATCATCGCTTACTTGTTCCTCCCTGTCTTAACTGCGGGAAGTGCAGAGCACATCACCCTTACACAGAACCTGGATTAGCAGTGGCCTCATGTGACATTAGCAAACAGTCACAGCATCAGCCCCTGGTAAGATAAAATTCCTCTCAGCTTTCACTTTGCAATGCAGAAACACTCAGAAAACATCGTTTTGCACGCAAAAATGTCAAATTCTGTAAGTGTGCTATGAGTCGATGTAAAGTAATAATGTGGAACTGGTGAAATAGGAACAAATTTCAGACCTTATTTCCTAAGACCACATTTTGCACATTTGTGCAAAATGATAAGAGCAACTCTTAGGATTAGGTGGATTCAAGCCCCCAAGATCATGGGCACAGCTTCACTCTCGGGGTGGGAATCTAAAGGGAGATTATTCTGCTCCTCATACTTTGAAGCTGCTGTAGACAGCTCTATGGTGGCTTTGGAAGATTAGGGGGTAGGTTGGTGAGCAGGATGGTGGATAGGGAGGGACAGGAAGAGGAAAAGCCTAGATTCCCTCAATCAAAGAGCTGATCCATTACCATCCTTACAAATCTCAGTGAAGCTGGTTACCTTCCTTCTCCCCTAATTTGCTTGGCTCTTGCCCTCCTGGCTTTTGGTAGACAGAGACATCTGTCTATTGTGCATCCATTCCTTGGGATTGTGCTTTTAGTGGATTTTATAATCACTCATTGGTGGAAGTGCATTGTTCAATTTTTTAAAAATAAAAAATAGTTTGTGGTAAATAATTATTTCCACCAAATAATACATTTTAACTCCCCGCTTCCCCATTGCCTATCCCGATGGAAGTACTACCATTCCCATGAGATGTAGACAGCTGCTTTTGGCCATCTAGCTGTGGTGGTTCAAAGGAAGGAGGCTGTAGATGGCACAGAATATGTCATACCTTGGTGTTTGCAGTATCTTTCTCTCTCCCCCAGAATGCCTCCCGTACCTTGTCTCTGATGTTGAGTCTTTAACCTCAGAGAAGCATCATCATGACCAATTGTAAGGGGGTGAGGGGAGCAGAGCACAGATATATACCTCTGTCAAAACACTGTTTGCTGTTTCAGTAGCCTGCTTTAAAGGAGACCCAGGGTCTTGATATCTAGCTTCTGCTTCAAAGGGGAGGAAATGCACTTTTACACTTTCCAGAGCCACTAGAATATCGGAAGAAGTGCAAAATGTGCAACATCCTGAATGCAGGCAAGGCAAAGAAGAAAAAGATTACCCTAATGCAGAGGAAGTGGAAAGCTCATCACTCCCTGTCATGAGCAAAAATACCTTGTAATTTTGGTATTTTAAAGAGCTGGCATAGGAAAGCTATTTAGAGTCTCTTTGAGGCAATGTTCAGGGTGCTCCTTGAGAGCAGATACCCTTCAGGACATTAGCCCAGCTGAGGCTTCACATTTCCATTCTCACAGAAATGAGCACTGCTGCACTCACACTGGTGCAGATAAAAGAACCATGAAACAAAACATGAAAAAGGTATGCACACTGTGGATACCATGAGTTCATAATGCAGTTTGCCAACCTTTGACAGACCCTTCAGTCCTTTGGGCACTTTGAGCACACAGTTACTGGCTGTCAATTCAGAGAGCATGATCTCTGGGAAAAAAGGGACCCCCCCCAACCCCCCCACAAAAACAAAAACAGCCCCCCTATGCCTGTGATAAATGAAAAGGGCTTGTGAGGGAGAGGGTCAGATATGTTTGTCCTGCCACAGGATCCTGTGTATACTTGCAAGAGGAAAAGGAGAGAGAGAAACAACCCATGGAGAATCAGGTTGTCTGTTGGGTTGATTAGGGCTTGTACACACACACACACACACACCCCCCCCCTTATAGTAGCTTATTGTCAGGGTGGCTTGTCATGATGTGATCTCCTTCAGTGTGCTCTCCTCCATAAGCTAGTGCCTTCCAGATGTGGGACTGCAGTTCCCATAAGACTGCCAGGTTGGGTAAGGATAACCTATAGGAATGCTCACTGATTGCAATGTGATCTTATCACATCTCAAATTTCCCTGTCTTTGGTTCCGTGCAATTGGCTCTCAGTAGTGGAAGTAGAGAAAGTTCCAGTGTGGCAACATCATGTTCTTGCACTTTCTCCTTATGGAGAAGACGTTGATGTGGGATGCTATTTTCACATTCAGTGAATGTAGTTCCCTGCACAACCCCCCCCCCCCATTTTTAATGAAAGGTAAAGAGCAAAACAGTTATTCTTCAGTATAAGAGGAAAAGAACCACAGATAAGTACCTTTTTATTTAAGCATCTCTCCCCTTCTTTTTCCATTTTCTCATGTGAGCTTAGAAAAAAGAGTTCCTCACTAAAGTTTAAAACTGAGTCCCAATTAATTTTGGCCTCTCTCCTAGAGCTTTCACCATCTGGGTTACTAGCTGTGCAAGAATGCATCCTGGGGGTTTATAAATTTTGTCTTCTTTCAGAAGGTGCTGGAAGGGTGGAGTTCTTTGCTGATTGGTTGTTTTGAATTCTGTCCCAGAGTTCTTTGTGATTGTTTTCTTATACAAGCATAGCTGCTCCAACATTTATTTCTTTATAATTCCCCAAGCAATTTGTCATCAAATGTGAAAGGTGTTAGAATAGAGTAAGTGTGTAGGCATAGAGTATGGAATACAGAACAATTACTTCATTATATCTCGATTCTTTCCTTCTTTTGTTTTTCTAAATCACATTTACTGTTTACTTTTCAATCATCCAAGAAAATTTCTGTTTAGTCTGATTGTGAATCATGTCTCATTATCCTCTGGAATACTTTCAAGATTACAGTTATGAAAATAACAATACTGTCTTGTAGTAGGTTTTTAGCACATTACAGTTTGGATCTCTGTGAACATTCAGGAATTTGCAATTGAATATGGCATAATATTTTATTAGGGACTTATTTTCACACTTAATCAGATACCTATCCCTCCATACCCCAATTTTGATATGTGGACATTTAAAATGAAAACATCTGAAATATACCTATAAACTGTGTCAGACTATTGGTCTATCTAGCCCTGCACTATATGCTAACTGGAAGTGTTTATCTAAGATCTAAGACAAAAGTCTTTCCCAGCCCAGTTACATGATACCCTGTTAAAATCTTGGTGCCACAGACCAAACCTAGAACCTATATGGAAGAAAAATCTAGCCAAGTTAAGTATGATGAATTCCTGTTTATTTCAATGGGGAAGTACTTGCATAACTTTCCCATGGAAATAAAAGGGCATTGAAAGTCCTTACCCAAGGCTTCACGTCTTATGGTAGCCTGCAATAGTTCAATATGCTGTTTTTTGCAGTGATGTATCTGTACTACTGTAAATATCCAAAAGGAAGGATGGATTGGGCCTTGCTTTCCATTAGTAAAATCACTTCAATAAACATGATACCCATATCACCAAGGATTGATAGAATCCACAGGACTTGGAAAAAACTGGTCTCTTGGCCTCATAGAAGCCTGAGCTCATTTGGATTGGTTGGTTGTGGATTTGTGGAACATGGATTGTGGATTCTTTGATATCCTTGCTTGCAGGACATGGGCAACACTGCAAAAAGCTGCACTATGTCCTGTGTTTGCAACAGCTTTTCTGCAAGACAGAGGACTTCTGGCTAAGTGCAGCTTTCTAGCTTGTGTGAGTGATGCATAATACGTGCATGTGTACTGACTCATGTCATACAGGTTTCATGCATTTTCCTAAGTAGATGGGACAGCTAGAGGAAGGCATCAGATGCAATTCTATATTATAGTTTAGAGCACACGTGGGCAACCCGTTTGGAGTGTAGCTATCCACTGGTGGATTTACCCATATTTTTTGAACCATTTCATCTGCAGCAATATTTACCATGGTCTCTTCTTAACCCATGGTTACAAAATCAGCCTCAGCTCCTGGTTAAGTGGGGAATCTAGTAATATAGCTATAACCACAATAAACTTCACTGCAGAACAATTAGACCACAATGTGTGTGTGTGTTGCAGGGAGAATCCCAAAAGAGAGGGCTGTGTGCTTGGAGGTGGCAGCACGTGATGAAAAGTGACCAGGAACATTCCTGTTGCACTAGGTCAGAAAATGTTTTTTTGCATAGGAAAAGCACTGTATATGAAATGCATTGGAGCTGTGTGGTACTTATTTCTTTGACAGAAGTATCGGTCTGTTAAAAGAAGAGAGTGACATGATTCATAAATGGGGTAAACAGGAAGCTCCACTGTTAAGAAAGGCCTTCTCTTGTAAATGGAACATTAATGACATGTTCCAAATAATATCCGTTTCCATATATTCCATGAAATCAGTTTCTCATATACCCATATCGGAACACTTAGATAGCACTTCTGCTGCTTTAAAAAGACGTGGGGACCCTCAAGATGTTTTGAACTGCAACTCTTTGAGTACCTGTTCTGAATTGCCTTGAGTCTTTTTTTAATAGGTGCAATCCTATGCATAATTAAACAAAAATCAGGCCTATAACTCCTGGATCCTTAGTTTAATATCTAAACATACATAGCATTGTGCTTCAAGACATCATAATAGTAATAATAATTTCATAGTCTCTTATCTTGGCTATATGGGCTGGAGCTGATAGAAATTGTACTCCAAACATCTGGATGGCACAAAGTTGCCTAGCTCTTTCACATTATATTCTCATTTTCATTTTAATTTTAAAAAGCTGCTTCAGAAACATTCACGTTTTTCCCCATTTAGATAGGAAACTTTAAAAGTTGTTGTTACTTTATTCAAGTCTCACATGATAGTTTGCAAAATCAATAGTTTTTCCCCCTTACAATATATATTTGACAGAATTATTTTTAAGTTCAAATGCTGACCTGCTTGCCATCAGAGTGGGAGATTAGAGTTCTATTCTGTGAGGTCATCGGAGTTTTAAAAGAATTCTAACAAACTGCAAATAAGTTCCCTTTGGAACACCTTCATCTGTCATGTTGATGTACACCAGGTTTCTCTTAGCCTCTTAACAGCTGACATTGACTGTAGTTAGAGACCTAACTGTTTATGATAGCATCAGGTGCATTCCATCTCACCCTGTCTTCTCCTGTTCCTTTTCAAGGTTCATGAGGCTCTAAAAAATCTGGTTTGTTAACGTTAATAAACTTTGTTTTGATTTGTGGGATCTAGGAGGTTTCATACAACCTTTTCATAATGTGCTTGCCATCCAAAAGAACATAGCAATAAAAACAGCCGAAAAACTTAATCAGAAGAATTATTTGATCAAAATAAGAGGGAGGATTTTGGGGGTAAATTACTTTGGAATGACTAATGAAAAGCTTCACAGCATAATTATATTTACCATGCTGCTATTTTTTGTTTGAAGTGTCTATGAAGTCCATATTGCTGTAATAATGTTTTATTGTTCTACGCAGCCAGACTATCAATGGTATGTTCCTGACTGGTTTCCGCCAGATGTGCAGCACAAGGCAAATGGTAAGGCAACAGCTGTACTGAACACACTTTTTAAGAGTTTTCTTTTTAATGGGGCCTTTTTTTGTGATCGCTAGTAAACTTTCATAAGCACCCAGTGCGTGATTTGTATACAGCTCTATTTTGTAAAACTGCAATACATACATGTGGCCAAGGCTACAGCTGCTAAATAAGATGCATCTGCATTACACTTTTTAATATTACCAAGCTACTTTCAAATATCTAACATGCCTTACAGAATGATAGAAATCCTTTGTTGAGCATCCAGTAAAAATGTATGATACTTATATTCTTCTGAGCATGTATCATGCTTAAACTACATCTGGAGTGACCAGAAGATAAATGTTCATCTAATATTTGACCTCTTGGAATCACAGAGTAGCCAGCTTCTTTCCTAGGCCAGTCTAGAGGATGGTAAGGTTTGATGGGTCACTAAGGCTGACTTAGACCCTGCCACAGTTTTCCTCCTTGCACTTTACACTGAAGAAGATCAAAGACAGTGTAAGGTGGTTATTTGTTTGTATGCTTTCCAGTTTGAGTGGGCAACTGAAGACCCCCCCCCCAAACAACTATATCAAATACTGGGGTTTTTCCTGTTAATACATTGTACCCTGTTCCCGTTTTGGTTTGCCATAGCCATCGTGTTCAAGTGTATGGCTGGGTTAGTCTGAACTCAACCTTGCTCTAAAGGAGTACATATTACTTAGCAATCACCAATGTGCTGCTTTCTCTTAGGCTAGCTCAGGAGTAGTCAACTTGTAGCATACTAGATGGTTTGGCCTACAACTATCATCAGCCCTAGCCAGCATAACCAATCTCAAGAGATGCCAGGAACTGTAGGACAAAACATGTGGATGGCTTTAAGTTGTCTATCTCTGGCTTTATTTATTTATTTATTTATTTATTTAGGGGACTTCTGTGCCGCCCCATTCGCCAAAGCCTCGGGGTGGCTCACAAACCATAAATAAATAGAATTCAATAAAACAATATAAATTAACAATATAAAGGCATTAGGCTGAAGCTGTTAGGCATCTTCTTTTATGACTGATCTTCATAAAAGATCTACAACAACTTCAGTGCACATGAGAAAAATCTCATTATATATTTTTCTTACTTTATGCCTCCCTGTGCATGTTATTCCTTACCTTCAGTAAGTGCAGGCAGAAGTTGTATGTGGTCTACTGGTAAAAAATTGGTGAGTTTCTGGTGAACCAACCAGAACTTGTTTGTTACCGAGGCTCCTGCAAAGAAAGCTGGATTAGGTATGTCTCACCTGTTATAAAAGCCCTAATTAGTGCTAGTTCCATGTGTGAGGATCCTCTCATGCAAGATGTCGCCAGTGATCCTTTACTTGAGTGGGCTATGTTTTTCTTGCTACTTACTGCTGCCATCATTCATTTGCTTGCCTCTCTTTCTGGGTTTGATGTTCTAGAGAGAAAAGTTGAAGTATGCAGCACTTTCTGATCTTTCACTTTCACTGCTTGTTCAGAGAAGGCAAATATATAGGCAGCAACAACATGGAGGATGATCAGCAGATTCAGCAAACTGCACTGATTCCTACTGGGTCCAGCCTGACAATGCCAACCCTGATCCTGGTGTTCTTGCTTCATTTGTTTACAACTACATCTGTTCATCTTCATCTGTTTACTGTGTAGTCCACATGGCTAAAAGTGGAACATGGAAGACTGAAATCAGCCTACCTCTCTCTGCTGTGTTGCATAGGGGCATATTTTCTAATCCCATGTGATCTTGTCACAGTAGGAAGAAATGTAGTGGCTATCACTGATTACTGATAGACACTACTGATTATTGACTATATACTACTGGCAGTATAAGACGGTGTACACATCCTCAGTGCTGGGAGCATGGGTAGGAAGGCAGGTGCTATTGCATTTATTTCCCACCTGGGGTTTCCCCATAGGCATCTTATTGGCCGCTGTGAAAACAGAATGTTGGACTAGGTGGATTCTTGGTCTGATCAACACGGCTCTTCTTAGGTTCTTAGGATGGTGATTTTTATATGCCCTTTATAGCATCAGATACAGTTAGGTAAACTTAAGAGACCTAATTTTGTCTACCAATGGTTATAATGTATGCCTATTCTATAATATACACATTATTACTCATAATTTGATTGAAGACTGTCCAGCTATGATCTCTCACCCTTTATTCTTGAAGTTGAATTGATTAATAGTTGATCAGAAGTATGGGCAGTATGAGATGGTACCATTTCCCCACTTTGATAATGGAAAATCCATGGTGTTGCATATGGATACAAATGGTACATTTCCTAGTTTACCACAGATGGGACCTTAGTGTCCCTTTCTGAATGCTGTGTCATTGTGCAAACTTATGATTCAGAACAGAACTCTTAGTGCTGCCAACCAAAAGACACTGTGCATCAATTCCATCTTTTCATCCTTAAAAGAAAGGAAAAAGATGAAAGAAGCAGTGGGGCAGCATAGGAAGGTTTCAAACGGAAGATTAGTATCTTTGGACCCAAGACTGGTCTAGATTCTTGGTCAAGACATTCTACCTTCTCATTCTCATAGTCACCAGCTGCTCTCGCTCCGCATCCTCTTTCCCACCAATGCTACCACTTGTTTTCTTGACAAGGGAAGAGTCAGGCAGTGGCATCTACTGCTTCTACTCACGGCTGCTGTTGTCTGGGCCATAGTGAGAAGCCTGTTTGCAATGGTGAGCCGCCCCGAGGCTTTGTTGCGATGGGGGCGGCATAGAAATGTTTTAAGTAAATATATAAATAAATAAGAGGAGCAATTCTAGCCAAGTCTTGTCAAGTGGGTCCCTACTGGAATGTGCAGTCTCAACAGGTGCCTGATCATGCCTGTGTTTGGCTTATGTGGATCTTCTTGGTGAATCCCATGAATTAGACAGGCAGAATACATGATAAAAGCCTCATGTGGAAGCTCTCTCCTTTGTTCAGAATTTTATGCCCAACAGATTGCTACTTCAAATATCCAGGAAACTGCCTGTTGTCCTTAACTAAAGCTCCTTACTGATCATGAGTTGTTTGGCTGTAGATTGCCTGGTAAGCTGTCCGTATGAAAGCTATGGAGCCCGTCTAATAACTTAATAACTCAAATGGATAAAGCTTAGCCTTGTTGAACCAGCTAACCTAGAAGATCAAGCTGGCTGGCTGAATATATTTGAAGCCACTAAGTTATTAAAAGGTTGCATTTATAAACCAGCCAGTTATTCTCAAGGGAACCAATGGATTTGACAGGAAAAGTTCATCTTTAGCCTTGGAGAAGGTACTTGAAAATTATATGAAACTTCCTTAAATCCTTGATTTGTTTATTTTGTGAATAAGAGGAAAAGATATTTGGTAATAAGTGACCACATAAATAAATAAGATTTCCTTAGGTATACAGTAATGAACCAAGTTATGTAGAGTCCAAGATAGTGAGACAGTGTCATAGAAAACAGACAAGGCGTTTTGATTCCGGTGAACTACTTAGACTTATCAACCTTTAAGAGCCAAAGTCTATGATGTGAACAGATCACTTCCAGTCATTTGAGTATTTATATGGTAATAACAGGTGTAGATATGTGCAAAGGATCGATTCAGTGTGTTGAGAGCTATCCTTTCTTCCCCTTCTGTAGAATTTACACCAACATCATTATTGCAAAGCTAAGGAAGGAAGCTTTATTTGTATACATTTGTGAAGAATATTGAAAACCAGGGTGGTGTGGCAATTAGAGTATTAGACTGGAACTTGGGAGATCAAGGTTCTAGTCACCCACTTGGCCATGAAACTCACTGGTCAACTTTGGGTCAGACATGGACTCTTAGCCTAACTTGATATAATTAGTGAAAGCACTTCTGAATTCAGTCGCTGAGATCTTTTCAAATTTTTTACCAGAAGCAACCAAGAAGCAGACCTCAAAAACAAGCTACAAGGCAGTTTATCAGGAAAATAATATGTATATACAGTAGCCATAGCTATACAAAGGATAATCACTGTTTATTAGAGGCAACTGGTCATTATTTATTTTATTTATTTATTTATTAAAACATTTTTATGCCGCCCCATTCGCCGAAGCCTCGGGGCGGCTTACAACAAAAAATTAAAATAACATTTTAAAATATATACAATAAAATACAAATATATAATATAAAACATACACTATAAAACAAGCCGCCCTGGCCAAATAAAATTCAATAATATTAACATTTAAAATACTGCTTAAATAAAAAGGTCTTCGCCTGGCGCCGAAAAACAAATAACGACGGCGCCAGGCGGACCTCTCTGGGGAGCGCATTCCATAACTTAGGCGCCACTGCTGAGAAAGCCCTCCTCCGAGTAACCACCCTCCTAACTTCTTCCATGGAGGGCTCCCGGAGAAGGGCCTCTCCCGCCGATCTCAGGGGGCGGCTGGGCATATAAGGATGTAAGCGCTCCTTCAGGTAACCAGGACCCAAGCCGTTTAGGGCTTTATAGGTCATAACCAACACCTTGAATTGGGCCCGGACTTCAATGGGAAGCCAGTGAAGCTGACGGAGAACTGGAGTCATGTGAACATAACGTCCAGTCCCCGTCAGCAGCCTGGCAGCTCTATTTTGGACCAATTGAAGTATCCGGACCGTCTTCAAGGGTAGCCCCACGTAGAGCGCGTTACAGAAGTCCAAACGGGAAGTCACCAACGCATGTGTCACTGTCGCAAGGCAGTCATTCTCCAGATAGGGGCGCAGCTGATGAATTAGCCGAAGCTGGAGGAAAGCGCTCCTCGCCACTGCTGTTACCTGAGCTTCCAGTGAAAGCTCTGGGTCGAGGAGCACTCCCAAGCTGCGGACCTTGTCCCTAAGAGGGAGTGCAACCCCATTCAGGACAAGGTTCAATTCACCCTCTCCGAAGCCCGATCCACGAACCAACAGGACCTCCGTCTTGTCTGGATTGAGCTTCAGTTTATTGGCCCTCATCCAGCCCATTACCTCGGCCAGGCACCGGTTCAGCACAGCCACTGCCTCACCTGGATTGGTG